CGAGCGCGACCCTAGGATGACGGATGCGGCTTGGTGGGGAGGGGGGGGGGGGAGGTCGCTGTTTGCGGTGCGAGCACGCCTCTTCACGGTGAGGACCCTGAAGACGGCGACTCGGGCCCCAGTGGCTGGAATGCCCTCTTGGCGCCTGGTTTTTTTCGGGCTCGTGTGTCGCACCGTAGAATTGCGTGATCGCTAGCGCCCTGCGCACCCCACGTTGCCGGGGATCTTCGAACAGGCCAGGCTCCGTTACCGCTCACGTAGCCTCGAGGTATGACCTTTTTTTTTGCTTGTCACTTGCTCGTCTTCGCCTGTACCGAGTACCGGCTGGGCTGTTGCTGTTGCTGTTGCTGTGAGGCACCTCATGACTAATGGGGGCTTGCTTTTGGCTGCCCCCCCTGGGGTTCGTTGGGGCGAGACAGTGAAAGTGGTCCCGCTGAAGAGCCAGAGTTTTATCGTGCCATCATTGACTTCTGGGGGCGGCTCTCCATTGCTGATGGATTGAGTGGAGAGGTTGCTTGGATGGATATCAGGAAGCGCATGCGGTTCACCATGGCCATCTCTGGACCCAAAGGCACCTCAGAGGCGGCCCTGCTGACATGGCCAGCCATGATTCATGCAATTACCTCACGACCAACCTGCTTATTAGCCGAATGATCGAGGAGGCCCAGTTGAAGACATGTTCCTCCAGTAGCCCAACACGGCTCATGTCCTTCAGCTGAATGGATGGGGGTAGCTTGTCACGCACACCACCACCGCTGCCTTCCATCAACTCGCGCTCGGGTCACTTGTCTTGGGGTTTCTGCAGTGTCCAAATTACTTATTAATTCCTATGTAATGCCCCAGTGTAATGCGTTCATCATATACCCGCCACGGGATTTGAGCCGGTGGCGTCACTGCCGACCACCTCGTCCCTTTGGCCGCTTCAATCCCCGGCCATACGCCGAGACGCCCCGTTGGTCAAGTGCCGTCAGACCAGCATGACGCCCCAGTTTGATGTGAACCCCCGAACGCCCGAGCGGCCGAATCCCTCCGTGCTCTTGTTCGCCAGAGAGCGAACGGAAGGGAGATGCCAGGCCTGCTCGCAAACGAATGACTGTATGCAGAAGTCTACAGTGCGTGCTGCCGCACCACATTGCGTGACAAGAGAAAAGGAGGGTCGTAGCCGACGAACGGCTGTTCCTCTTTATCCATTCATGAAGCAACCAGATTAGACCTGCGCAGCGGCGCCGCGCATCTTGCTGCTCATGTTCTTCGCCCACTCGTCGTGGGCGCTCTCGTCGAGCCAGTACGACCTGCCGGTGCTGAGCATCTTGCGACCCAGGCGTCCCTTCCAGCCTTCGCCCTCGGGCGTCCCGCGCGCGAAGAGGTCCTCGGCGTCGACCTTGCGGTTCTCAGGCACCCAGCCGCTCTCGCCGACGCGCTGCAGGACCTGCTGGGCGAACGCCATGACGACGAGTGCGAGGTAGACGCGCACGACGGTGAAGCCAATGACGAGGCCGAGGCTCGTCCACGACTCCTCAGGACCGATGTGCTTGGTCGAGCCGGGCACATCAGGAACGACGGGGGTACCAGTGGCGAGGGTCGCGTCGGGGACGGCGGAGTTGACCGAGATGGAGGAGCCATCGGCCGGGGAGGGGTGGCGCTCGAGGGCGGTTGAGTGGGCGAACCATGACAAGGCAAAAGCCGTGGTGTACGCTGCGTTGAGGACCGTGTCGATTATGTAGAGCCAGGCGAGGGCTAGGCATTCAAAGGGCGTCTGCTTGCGAATGTGCGGCAAGAGAGCGGCCGTGACGAGGAGGACACCGAGGGAGTAGATGTACATGGAGAGCTGGAGGAGCGACAGGGAGTATCCCGTGAGGATGGCGAGCAGGCCGTAGAAACCCGTGAGCTTGTTGAAGATGAGCGTCAGGGTGATCATTTCGGTGCCATTTTGCAAGCTGATGAGGCCGAGGAAGGTCTGGGACATCGTTAGAGAATGGCTTTGAGAGACGCGACGTGAGACGGCGGCACAACGAGAGGGAACCGTACCTTAGGCCTAGGCAGCCACCCCCATGCGTTGAGCGCCATGATCTGTAGAGTCGTTTTTTCGTGTCGCGTCTAAAAAATATTGCAGTGTCGACCAGGGCGCGTAGGTTGTGTCGCAGATGATGTCGCTGGTGGTATCGCAGATGTGTTGGTGCAAATGGCAAATCAAGAAAGCTGCCAGGAGAAAACGATGATGGTTTGGCGGTCGAAGCGGATCTCTCGGTAATTAGGCCCAAGGCGAAGGAGCAATCCTGGCTGGGTGCCGGCTGGTCGCTGGTCAGCCGCTGGTAGGCTGCTGGCTGAGCGAAAGCGAACGCAGGGTCCAAGCCCATGACATAACCGGTCCACAATGGGGGGCAGGTCGCCGGCTGCCTCGGACTGTCACGCGACCGGCAGCCTGCATGAGACCTCTGGAGCCGGGCACCACCAGGTGTCCGACGAGGCGAGATCTACTCGTCTATGTTGTAGGTTTGTGGGCTATTGTCCGTTTTCTGAGTGATGAGCTCACAACAACCAGTACGCTGTTGGATGTTCTTTGGCCAAAGCGGGTGTTCCAATCATTTCATGTCACCTACTATAGATACCCAAGTACTACTGTATTTGAGGGGCTATACTCAAATTCTCTCAGGGCAGATGTTCAAAGTTGTCACACAAGGCCATCTCAATTCAAAAGATCAAGTTAAAAGATGAAGGAAGTCTTGTTTAGATATGATATGCAACAGATCAAGTAGAAACCCCGTGCGCCAGCATTGATCGTAGACCTAGGACCGTCGTTGGCGCCCTGCCCTCGACCGGCCCTGGTGCATATCCGGCCGGTAGGTGGGTGGAAACATGGCAGATCACAAGAACCCGGACTCAACTCGACTCAAACTGATTAAAATAAGGTAGGAGGTACTGTATGTACGAACGATCGTGAGCATGGTCTGCCAAATATGATACAAACTGAACCGATGAAAGCAGCCTCATTTGCACGCTATGCTTAAGATAGATATCCTGCCCCGGCGGCCCGTTCATCACAGCGTTGCATCTCGTAGTCCCAAAGGAGAGGGACAGGGGCGGCCTACACTGGCCGCTCAGCACGCGCACCCCTCCTGCGAGGGCTGCTGTGTGTTGGTCTTGACGTCGATCACTGTGGCGCAGATCAGTCAGTAGGGACTCGAAACGGACTCTCTGAAGTGGCGGGACATACTCTGGTTAGCAGCCTGGGCGGCCGTGTCGGAGCCCTCCATGCCCGGCAGCGCCTGGGCTATCCTCTTGAAAAGCGTCTTGACGTTGTGGCCGAGCTTCGCGCTCGTCTCGACGAACATGAGGTTGTTCTTCTTGGCCTCGTCCTCGCCCTGCTGCGTCGTGACCTCGCGCTTCTCGTTCAAGTCCGTCTTGTTGCCGACAAGCACGATGATGACGTCGTTTCCGCGCTCGGCGCGCACGTCGTCTATCCACTTTTTGGTATTCTGGAACGATTTCGCGTCTGCACAGATTAGTCCTTGAAGGTGCGTCGGAAAGGAGGGTACCGCGGAGGCTGTCCCAAGTCTGGGTTTGACGTACTCGAGATATCGTAGACAACCACGGCAACGCTAGAGTCTCGAATATAGGAGGGAATCAGACTCCTGAATCGCTCCTGGCCGGCGGTATCCCACAGTTGCAGGCGAACGGTGCGGTCCTCGAGGTACATCGTCTACAGCCGGTCAGCTCGGTCCATTGATACAATTTTCGAGTTGGCATGCCTTGGAGAGGAAATCGATGCCGATTGTCGCCTGGTACATGTTGTCGAATGAATCATACATGAACCGTGTGATGAGTGATGTCTTGCCGACGCTCTGCTCACCCAAGAAGACGAGCCTGTGTAGTGTCAGCCGCTGCCGACCAGCATCTCGTCACGACAATTCGTACTTGAACTTCTTGAGCGGGTTGTTGTAGGATCCGGACGCCATCTTGCCGGTGTTGCTGTCCTCTTAGCCTCGGTATGGGGGAGGGGCGGTGGATAGGGTTCGAAGGAGGGGAGAGAGGGGGGGCGACACGGCGCGGACGGTTCTTGTCGGTTCGCAAAAGTCGCAGCGGCGTTCAACGAAAAGTGTCGATTATGACAGTCGTTCGCACGCGTGATGCCGTCAAAGTCGGGGGGGAGGCGTCTCAAGAACAGCTTGGGTGAGGGCGCTGCGGGTTGCAAGGGGAAAGGAGGTCTGCAGGTCTGGAGCTTTCCATTCTCGTGCCTCTCGACCTTGGCGGCGGTCATTCCGAGCGATTGGTGGAGATGCACGTCGATAAGATAAGGCATTGTTCCCACTCTAAAATCGACTGGGGGAAGTTTACTCGATGGCTCCACATTCCGCTCACGTGCCGATTAGATTGGCCCATGGAAAAAAATCCAGAATCCCCGCCGACCCTGAAGCAGGTGGCAGACCGACGATTTTGGTGTACATGCAGAACTAGAACTGCCTTTCGTCTTATCTGCAGCCAGCAAAAGTTCGCCATTGCCAGCTTTTGTCTCTCCAGCATCACCAAACCACCACGATGCCCGTTCTCAAACCCCTCTCGGGGTCGACCGAGGCGCCCCAACAGCACAAGCAACCGTCAAGGAAAGGCAAGAAGGCATGGAGGAAAAACGTCGACCTCACCGAAGTTGAGCAAGGCCTCGACGCCCTCAACGACGAAATCATCCGAGGGTAAGAGAGAGAGCCCAATTCTCCCCGGCCCGTTGCCTGGGCCATACTTCCACATGAGGCCCCGCCCGGCTAACAGAAAACCAGTGGTGTCGCCGCCGAGAAGGACTCAGCCGACCTCTTCGCCATCGACACCGTCGGCGAGACGGACCCCAAGAAGAAGCAGCGCGTGACCAAGACGCTGCGCGCCGACGAGATCATCGCCCAACGCTCCGCCGTCCCCGCCGTGTCCCTGCGCAAGCGGCCCGCCCCCAAGACCTCGGACGGCCTGCTCCCGACGAAGCGCGCCCGCAAGGACTGGGTATCGGCCGCCGAGCTCGCGCGCCTGCGCCGCGTCGCCGACGGCCAGGCGCCCTCGACCATCGACGTCCAGCCCGCGACCTACGACGTCTGGGCGGCGCCGCCGCCCGTCGAGAAGCCCGTCGTCGAGCGGGCCGAGGACAACTTTATCCCCGAGAAGGAAATGCCCAAGCCCCCGCGTACGCTGCGCCACAAGCCCGTCTCGCTAGCGGCGTCGGGCAAGACGGTCCGCGCCGTGGCCAAGCCCAAGGGCGGCCACAGTTACAACCCCCTCTTCGAGGACTACGCCGCCCGCCTCGAGGTCGAGTCGGCCAAGGCCGTCGAGGTCGAGAAGAAGCGTCTCGCCAAGGAGGAGGAGACGCGCCTGCGCGAGGAGGCGATTGCCCGGTCCGCTGCCGAGGCCGACGCCGCCGAGGCGCGCGCCAACCTCTCCGAGTGGGACGAGGATTCGGCCTGGGAGGGCTTCGAGACGGATGCTGAGGGGTCGGATGCCGAGGGTGTATCGGCGGCGAGCAAGCCGCGCAAGCGCAAGACAACGGTCCAGCGCAACAGAATCAAGCGCCGCAAGGCCGAGGAGGGTCTGAAAAAGCACGAGTCCAAGATCAAAGCCCGCGACGAGCAGACGAAACGCATCAGGGAGATTGCGTCCGAGATTGCCGAGCGCGACGCCTTTGTGCAGGCCCTCGTTGCGCAACAGGCCGAAGTCGACTCTTCGGAGGAGGAGGACGACGGTGCCGGCGAGGTCGCGCTGCGGAGGAAGAAGCTCGGCAAGAGCAAGCTGCCCGAGGGTGACCTCGAGCTCGTTCTGCCGGATGAGCTGCAGGACTCGCTCCGCAGGCTGCGACCCGAAGGTAACCTGCTCAAGGACAGGTACAGAAGCTTGCTGGTGCGTGGCAAGGTCGAGAGCCGCAGGAGGATCGCCTTCCACAAGGCGCCAAAGGTCAAGTACTCGGAGAAGTGGTCGTACAAGGATTTCAGGTTATAGATGCAGGGGAACAAGGACGTCGCTTCATAACGCAGCGTGAATACATAAGCCGGGCTGGCTGTAATGACCTATTTGACATGTGTCCTGGTCCTCCTGTCCATGAAATCAAGAAACTATCGCACATGATGCTCCTTGAAACGCTTCTAATACGCAACCAAATCTGTGACTCGTTAGTAAAGGCCGTTAATCCTGAGCGTCGCAACGTACCTCTGCCGAACAAACCCCGCTTCGCCCAGTCCATCGCCAGCAGCATCCTCGTGCGGAAACTCACGCTCTGCGCGAAATACACCGAACGCCAGGCGTACACAGCCCACAATCCGCCCGTAATATTCCAGCCCTGGCCGAGATCGAACACGGCCGAGTTGCCGATATAGGCTAGGCTGCCGAGGTGGTGGTACTCAAACGCCCTGTAGACAACAGTGTCAATGTCGCCGTCCTGGATCTCGTTCTGCCTCAGCGCGTCGGCTGTGCGTGCTATCTTGTTGAACTTGTGCGCAAGATACTGGCCTTGTTGGTGAGCACGCTGAGCCGTTGCGGGCAAACTGGTGAGCTTGGAGTCAATCTGCTTGAGCAGCTCCCGAAGTTCGCCAAAGTCGAGGGTACCGGACTGATCCTTGTCAAACTGAGCAAACAGCTTGTCAACGCGCTTCAGGTGGCCAATAGCTTGTGGGAATCGCTTCTTAATGTCAGAGGCGACGTCACGCCAGTCGCTGAAATGCAGTTCAAGAGTCTCGGGGTCCTTGCCGCGCTTCCATGCAAGGTTACGGAGGAATGTCACGATATGATCGGCAACATTGTTCTGGACCGTAGAGCAATCGCCAATGGCATAGACATCGCCCAGGGGCGCACCGTTGAGGCGGAGATGGGTGTCCGTCTCGAGGGCATGCCGGTTCGTCTGCATGCTGCCTAGCTTTTCCGAGAGACGTTTGCAGAATTCCGTCTGAGAAACACCAGTGGACCAGAGGCAGAAACCCATGGGGATCTCTTTCGTGACGATGCTACCGTCATCCTGACGCTGTGTGTAGATGATTTTGTCGGACTGGACCTCCTGAACGCGAGAGTTGATTTGAACGTCAACCTGGTCGCGTGCAAAACGAGCTTCGGCATACTTGGAGACTGCCTCATCATAGGTGTTGAGGATGTGACTACGGCTCTGGATCAGGTGCACCGAGATTTGGTTGCGCAGGAGGCGAGGGAAGTTCTCCGTCAGGTCCTCGTTCAAAAGGTCGAAGAGCTCAGCCGCGAACTCAACACCCGTGGGGCCGCCGCCGCTGACGACGAAAGATAGGAGGCGTTTGCGCTCCTCATCGGTGGTTGTCGGTAGGCAAGACTTTTCGAGGTTGCGGATGATCGAGTTGCGGATCAACCGCGCATCGTTGATGTCCTTGAGAAAGTGGGCGTTCTCCAGTCCCTTGACACCGTGGGGGTTCGTCGTTGAACCCACGGCAATGACAAGCTTGTCGTATGGAACGTAGAATCTCGTCACGTTTCCTTGCTTGTCCTCTTGAGACACCTCGACGAGCTTGTGGGAGAACTCGACGTTCTCCGCCTTGGCGCGAACAAAGTGTCCATTGACACGGGCGAGAACTCTGCGGATAGGCTCAACGAGAGAGCGGAGCTCCAGAGTGCCGACAGTGGCGGAGGGCAGCATGGGCGTGAAAAGAAAGTAGTTCTTGGGCGAGATGACCGTCACGTGGAAGTCATCGGGATTCAGCTCCTTGAGCATGGCAACGCCACCCCATCCGCCACCGAGGATGACAAGCTTGGGCTTGTCCTTCTGATTCTGCTTCGTCTCATGATCAGAGTCGTCAATGAAGACTTCGGCGATTGGCAGATTCTTTGGGCCGCCAATTCGGGGGTTCAAGGCCATCTGCGAGACGGTGATGTCCATGCCGGTCGTATGTTCCTTGTATGTCGAGGCATCGTAAATGAAGAAGCCGACGACGCTAACGCCGACAAAGGCAACAGAGATACCAAACCAGGCTGCCGCCCGATAGGCAAAGTTCAAGGCCCTTGACTTGACCTGAGGTAGAGGCTTTCCGGATATGGGTCGGACAGAAGCCTTGGGGGCCTTGTGGGCGTCGAAGAAGAACGGCGTCAGGGAGGTTCGGGCTTGGGACCGCGGGGGGACATTCGCGTATGATCTTGATTGCAGAGTAGTCAAAGGATGCGATCGGCCAGCGAGGCAGTGCGGTCCTGTGATGCCTCGATACTGTCGTGTTGCGCGTGCCAGGCGGACAGGCGCCGCTGTCGCCGTGGCGGGGCGCATTCTATGAGGTGGTGGTTGGGTTGTCGGTTCTCGCGGTGGGAAGGTGTCAGTCCATCAGCAGAGCAAGTGAACGAGCGTGTGTCGAGGAGAATAGAACTGCGCGCTTCGGGGATTGAGAGCGCTGTAGCAGGCTACGACTGGGCTGCAAAAGAAAAATCGCTTCGAGGTGATTGAGAGGGAAAAGAAGTCGGAGCTACCTCAGCTTGTGGCAGGAGACGAGCGGAATGGTGGTTGGTCGATCGAGTCGGTGCTGGCTGCTACAGGCTAGTGTGGTGGTGATGATGGCCGCTATCATTGACCCAGCCAGAGCTCCAATCCCTGCTCTCCAGACGTCATTGACCCGCAGCACGGCGCTACCTCGCCGCACACTCAGAGTGGAAGCACAGGCACTAGCCGCCGCAAAATCAGGAGAGGCCAAGCATGCAACAGTCGATGCTCGAGCTTTGCATCTCAACCCCAACGGCTCCGGTACTTGACACTTAAGTGACTTCATCCATAGCCTTCGCAGGGCCTTGGGTACTTAATGAGGTATCTTTGATTTTGTTTATTTGATTTTTCCGGAGAAAACATCATGGAGCATGCATGCACAAGGCCTCGGCCAAAAGAAATGGGCGGCCGCGCTTGGATAACACCAGCTTTACGAACAAGTTGCCTTAGTAGCTCCACATGACGCCGGTCTTCCCGGACTGAAGGTGCCGGCCTGCCGACCTCCGTCTTCACGGCCGAGCAGCGTACCGAGAGACCGACGTGCGAGCCAATTGATCATGTCAGACACATCGTGTTTTCTAGACCGAGCTCGAAAGGCTACAGCCGAGGGCTCCTTTCGCCGTCAGGTCGCTCGTTCCGTTGATGAGGTCATCTCTGAGCTAAAACCACGCAGACCACAAAGACAGCTTTCCGATCAGAGCTCACCAACATCCCTACTCAGAGTCCACATAGACAAAGCATCTCCCAGCCAATTGACAGGATGACACACTTTGTCTCATGATTCGAGAAGTGATCTGGCCCGGCTTCCCTCGTCAAGAGGATTCAATGATGTTAGCAGCTGGTCATCACAAGCTTCAGGATGATGCTGGGCATGAATTACGAACCGACCATGTTCGCACGCTACAACTTCCTACCCTCCAGATTAGCATCTCTCTGGAGATAATCACGTGCTGTGAAGACTTGTCACATCATACCTCTGACATACTTTCTCATTTACCGGCCGATGTGCATTTCAGTGAAGCTGTCAATTAAATATTTCATACAAGATATCGACACGGTCAGAGCTTTATAAGATAACAGGTCAAAGTCTACAAGTGGTCTCAGACCTTTTTAACTATGTACTCGATATAATAACATTTGACGTTCTCTGCTGTAGGAAAAATACAGCGTTGAAATGACTTTGTTCATAAATTTGCGAAATTTTGAGCTTGGTTGTCTGGAGGAACAACCACTCTGGAGCTGTCCAGACCGTGAGGACTAGGTGACTTCGCAGGAGCCTTTCCCTATAGGCCACATTCTAAATAGGTGTCTCACATCTCCTCCAATTGGAGGATAGTAGATGAACTTTACTTAAATATAATAATGATATGCTTAAGTTAGGACAAGATAACTTTGTCGCCCACCACTATAATGCGCCATATTATCTCCACCCACACCCTCAATGTCGAGGATTCAGGGTTCAACTAAAGACATCCAGCGAAGTCGAAGCGAGGTTTGTGTGGCGAAACATTAGCATCCCTGAATGAACTTATGCCTACCGTACCACTCATGCGGGCCCAAGATATCTAGCACAATTGTACTCTGATCTCTCATCCAGCGAAGACGGAGTGTACTGTGCTCCTAATGTCATCCTGAGCCATGTTTGCGCTCGTCGGCAATCCTGACAGGTCGCAACAGGGAGGTTCTAGAGTGCCTCTTGGACTTTCTGGAGAACAGCGACGAACACATATCAGTGACTGAAGGTTGACACGCCGGAGAAGGGAAGCTTGAGCCCAGCGCGTGGAGGTACGAGGGAACCAGTTAATAGACCAGCAGACTCACGATTATCCGTTAAAAAAAAACCTTGTTGTTGACGCGAGGCTGAAGTTCGTCTTTCGTACGACCAGGTAATTACAAGCCTCGAGGAACATCCTTCAGACGGAGCAGGCTTAGCCATCAGAACTGTGATGAAGTCGACCGTGACTCCAAGACCCAACTTTCGCCCGAGGGCTACAGTGGTCGTCCAAAGAGTCTTGGAGCTGAACAGAGAGCAGAAGATACGGTAGGCCCCAAGCTATTGTTCAAAGTCGCACAATTCTCAGACGTTCCGGCCTTGGTTTACAACAAGTTTTGACTGCAAGCGGTGGCTAGTGCTGGATTTCATCTCTGATGCTCAAGGGTCCTGGCTGTGAGGCGCTGGTTCACAGCGAAGCAGTACGCTGAGATTGACACAAAGATCAGGAATCACGCAAAAATGGCTGGCATGAAAATCATTTCTCTCATGCCAGGCGACCTAGTTGATCCTTCGCCCTGCTTATTTCCAATTGCCCAACCCATCCTCATTCAGTCGTCAATTAGCACCGGAAGTACCTCTTCTCCACCCAACGGTTCTCACTGTCGGGCAGCATGTTACACAGCACGACAGATATACCGGGGAAGACTTTGGTCAACCGGTGCACGCCTAGCTTGCCAGCATGATAGCACGCTAGCACGATGTTCTCTTGCGCAACGCCGTGGTCAACGAGTACCTGCACGGCCATCAGCGCCGCACCGCCGCTGGCCATCTGTGTGTCGATCAAGAGCACACTTTCGCTCTTCTCGATTTGGCTAGGAAGCTTCAGATAGTGCAGCTCTGGCTCGCCAGTTCGCACGTTCGACTGGACGAGGATACGCCCGGTGCGGCAGTCGGGGATCAGTCTATGCAATGCCGTCTCAAACGCGGCGCCGCCACGGAGCACGAGCACTGCCGTAACCTCACCCTTGGCCTGGAGACCCTTGTACTTGTAGCCCGCGGGCGTCTCTGCGTCGTACTCTTTGAATCGGACATTGTTGAGTGCCCTGATATCGTCAGTCTTTACTCTCGGGTATGTTGAAGGCAGGCAGCGGCGTACTTCTCAACCAGAAGACAGGCCAGCCTGTCGAAGTAAAAGATGAAATCCTCGGCAGAGGTATCAATGTCTTGGAGAATCGTGTTCATGCCCCGCAACTGTGGCGTCTGATCAAGGATGAAGACCTTGTCAGATAGCGGCTCTGCAGCTGCGTCGATCTCGAGTTGAGTCAAGGCGGCACGGTGATGCGTTGACTTTTCAAGCAGCTTTCGCTCAATGTACTGAACCACCATGGCTGATGAATGTTAGTTTCGCCATGCATGGCGTGGTCATCGGCGGCAAGCTTACTCATAGCAACGTGGTTCTCAATACCACGAGGAACGATGACATCTACTTCCGTTAATCGGTGTAGAAGACCCCCGGAACGTGATGCGACTTACCAGCCACCTTGCGTTGCGGCTCGACATACTACGCCCAATCAGCAGCGCTCATGCAGTGAGCTGAGATTCCTACCTTCTCGAAATTGGGCTTGACGAATCCAAACCACTGCTTCATGATACCCTCGACGTCACGATCGCGTTCCCTGACATCGCGAAGAACTGTAGGGTATAAGCAGGTGTCATGGCAGTGGAGCCTAAGGTTCATACCTCGTCTAGAGAGGCATGTGTCGGGATCGGCCTCGCAGAAAATCTGGAACCGTCAGCACCAGTCTGTGGCCTAACGTAGTAGGGTGGCAATACCTTCATGTCCAGTAGATCCAAAATACGTTGGTCGTACAGGGCAAAGATGCCCTCGAGGATCAAAACATGTGGTGAATAAATCGTGGTAGAATGGTCCAGACGCTGGTGCTTGGCGAAAGAGTAGACAGGAATCTCTGCTCTCTTACTGTTCATCATTAGTCAGTGGCCCAGGCATGCTGCATCTTGTCTTATGCAAGGAAACATTGAGCGATACGCACCCAGCCTTGAGGTCTCGAAGACACTGCGTCAAGACATCAAAGTCGATAGCCTACACAGTATGATTAAGCACGCAATTCTTCACTTGGGAAGTTAGGCGGATGGAACTACCTCTGGGGAGTCGAAGTCGAAGTCGTTGTTGAACGCTTTCTTGGATTGTTCCGGCGTCAAGGGGTTATAGAAGGAATCCTTCTCATATTAGACAAGACCGATCCTCTCAGCCACACTCGACTCAGGTGAACGCTTACCATGGACAAGATGACGACCCACGGCAGGTTCAGCTTCTTGCAAATGGCATGCGCCAGCGTCGACTTGCCAGAGCCCGACGAGCCTGCAATGCCAATGATAGACACATCGGCCCAGGGAGGTGCATAATGAAGGCGTTTCTGCACCGTGACATGAGATTCGTTGGCGGCCATGGTAGGCTGGCAGTTGTGTCTCCCAGATCACAGACAGATCAGCGAGTGAGAAGCCGCGGGGTAGTTGGATCGGTGGCTGAAGATAAGGTAGGCTGGATGGCCACAGGTCGTAATTCGAGAACAGAAGCCGACAAGATTTGTCAGTGCGAAGACGTGGACTCAATCAGCCGGCGAGACGTAGGCTCTTGAACCCAAGCACAGATGCAGATGCAGCGCTTCGGTACCCGTCAATCGGCGCCCTCCGAAGTTCAGATTCTGAACAATTGAGGCCCAGAAGAGGAGTGGGAGGGTGATAAACAGATAAGAAGCCCTGTCAAGATAGCTTTGTGGAGTCTAGACCGCTGAACGGGGGAAAAGCTCGGCACAGGCTATGCCTGCGAAGATGGTCTGGTAGACAGAGAAAGAGAGCTTCGAGAGCTGGAGACTGTTGCCTACTTGGAGGAGAACATTGAACAGAGAGGAGAGAGGTTCTTGGTCGACATCAATGGGTTGAAGACGCAGAGCAGCAGGTCGCGTGAGGCCACTCCCCGTCACATGGAGGCAGGATCATCACCTCTCACACTGTATTTACAGGGCGCTTTTGGCGCTCCTAGCGCTTTCAGGCAGGTGGTAGCCTTCAGCCGTCCTTCGCTCAGCGACACGGCACGAGCTGGTCAGGGCAAAGAAGTGCAGGCCGCCGTCGCCAACGAAAGCAGAAGCCCCATTCTGCGTTAGGTCAAGCCCAGACACGCTCTGATTGGCAGCCTCGTGCCGGGAAATCCACACCAGGCCCTGCACCTGCTTTCAAATAAAGCCTACGTTGCACCCGTTTTGCATTCCTTTCCTCACTCCCATTTCGTCTTCACCTTCGCCTTCATTCTTCTGTCCCAGCCTGCTTTCGCCATCGAACAGCCTGGGCCCAAATGTTCCACCTCAAACCCCCCTAGCTGTCACTTCTTCGGCGTCAGAATCTCCTCGATCACGACTGCTCCTAGAACCAACTCACCCTACCCAAACCCCCCACCTCCCACCGCATGTCTGGACTGCCAGATCCCAACGATCCCGTCTCCGTCGCTGTTTGGAACAGAGCAGCTGCCAGTCTCGTTCGCGAGACGCGCCAGAGAATCATGGTTCGTCAGCTTTGACATCATGGGCGATGCCTCGGCATTTGCTAAGACGTCCGTTCTTCAGACTTCGTCAGCGTCAACAGCTACGCCAATGAAGCACTCGTTTGAGGAGCGCGTCGATGACGTGAAGTCGCCTAAGAGGTTTGTGCCCTCTTCTCTACTGCTCCAGCCTTCCCCATCCACCACCAACACCAAAATGATGAACAACTATCACAATGGGAATCTCTCCTAGCAATTCCGTGCGGAGAAAGTCGATATAAATTTTGCCTGAACCTTTCTTGTCTCGTCTCATGCCTCTACGACCCATAACTGGTTCAACATCATGCTGACTTGGCTTTCCCCAGCGACATTAACTCACTCATCTTCGATTACCTGATGATGGAAGGCTACCCTAATGCTGCGGCAAAGTTCAGCAAGGAGGCCAATCTCCAGCCACATCAGGCCGACGACACGATCCAACTGCGACAGCAGATCCAGCACTCTATTCATATCGGTAGCGTGCAGTCAGCGATAGAGGCCTTGAATGATCTCGATCCTGAGGTAAGACGCTCTCCTACTTTCCCCTGTCTTGCTATGATTAGAACACGAGTTTTACATGCACCACTCATATGATCTTCGGATCGTGATGAGAAACAACCACTTTTTACTGAGCAAACACCTCATTTCTTCGTTTTCAAGTACTTGCTGCGAGGACTGGATCTAACAAATTCGTCAGATACTGGATCGCGACCCTACCCTGCACTTCGCGCTGTTACGTCTGCAGTTGGTTGAGCGCATCCGCTCCTCCACCGCATCGTCGGACGAAATTGCTACGCTCGAGTTCGCCCAGACCCATCTGGCCCCTCGTGCTGTGACTGATCCTCGATTTCTCAACGATCTCGAAGAGACCATGGCCTTGCTAGTAGTGCCGCGTACTAGCCTGGAGCCCCAGCAAGCCGCCATCCTTCATCCTGATCTGAGGAGGGAAGTCGCGGACAACGTCAACAAGGCTGTTCTTCAGCGCATGTCTGAGCGCCGAGAAGCGTCCATTCGCGAGCTCGTGAGGATGAGAGCCTGGGCTGAGCAGACTGCCCGTGCCAGCAAGAAGTCCCTCCCTGAGAGGTTGGACATCGGCCTGAATCGCCCTGATGAGGGACACGAGTCTATGCTCATCACCTAAAGAGTCAAAACTTTGCATGCTAGGGGTCATCCCACATTGCGGGAACCGACGTTGCCAGCCCCCAAGTAATTGTGCAAACGTCCTGAGGACTTGGCGGAATGGAGCGGATTAGACTTGACGGAGCTCTATATCTTCGGCACTTCATCATCAATGATACCAAATCAACTACTTTTGACACAAGATATTTATGGCGAACCATTGTTGTGATGCTGCTTGTTTTGGGGCCTCGCGTGTAAAATGAATCCAATCGCTGTGTTAGAGCAGCTTCCTAGGTATTCAAGGCAGTAACCTTCATCTCGTGACGCGCTGCCGCCTGTGCCCAATCCATCGCCAATCGTCTGCATCACTAACTCCACCTGCTCCTTCCTGAATACGTGGTTCGGCCGCAAGGTCTTGAAAGCACCAAGAGTTTACCTGCGTTCCTTCGTATGTCACTTCGTATTTCATTGAAGCTGGAACAACAGCAGCAATTTCACAACCCCGCTAGTCCAACGACAGTTCTTTGTGACAGACCAACTCTAAAACTTTCGATTCCTGCACACTTATGTACACATTCCCAGTGCATCACGCACCCTTCACACACACCCAAGGCCACCCATCTATTTCGTGCGGATGTGCTTCAGGTTCCTCGCTGAGTACAAGAAGTTGTTGGCGTACGCCTTGGGCGCAATCTTGCGGCTCTGGGGCTCCTGAACGAAGAACTCGTAGCCCTGCTTCTCGGCAAAGCGGATGGCGTCCTCCTTGGTCTTGAAGTTGAGCTTGGTGCCCTGCATCATGTCACCGGACGACTGCCAGCCCATCAGCGGGTTCTCCCATCGGTGGCCCTTGGGGAGGATGTCCCAGTCCATGCGCCAGTGGTGGCCCTGCCAGTTGCCGGACTGGGTGGCAGGCTTGGTCTCTTGGTAGATGCTGTTGTATGCGTTAGCTGCGCTCGAGGACGGACGACTGTATTATTCCGATTTCATGATGTCGTCACCAGTGTATGTGCATGGATATTCGTACCGGACTGTGCGGCCCTGAAGCTCCATGGGAGCGCCGGAGACGGTGGCGGCTTGGAAGTAGGGGACGTCCTCGCTGCCATCCTGGATGCGCTTGGGGACGGGGGTGAAGGTACTATATCATCGTCATCAGCCGCTATCTCAGTTGCCTACTGCTTCCTGCAGGCACTCACGAGGTGGCCTTGTCGTGGTTGATCTCGTAGTCGGGCTGGTTCGGGTCGCTCGAGGGCACGGCAGCGGGCGCGGTGGTGACGGAGCTCTGGAAGCGGCGAGCAGCCAGCGGCATGGCGGTGCGGGTGGCCGTCGCGCAGCGGAGAAGGCGAGCGGCCTGCTGAGTCCTGAGAGAAGCCATGGCGGGACGTCCTCTCGAATGGGGTCGATGGAGGGGTTGGATCGAGTCGAATCAAGTCGTGTCGTCGTGGCGGGCGCTCGAAGTTCCTCAATTGACTTGACGTTGCTGCAGTCGAAGGGCAAACCAGGAATTGGTGGGCGCTGATTGGGCGGCCGCATCAACGTTGTCCCGGGCAAGCGAGCGCTTTTCCTTCCCGCGGCAATCCTCGACCCAGGCAAACGACCCGATTGAACATCAGCACCCTCAACGTCACGATACAGTCCAATTGGATCCGCTCAATTGGCTTGCTCTGCGCAACTCCTCCTAATTCGATACCCCTCCGCTCGTCGTTCTTCCAGCCGCCATCATGAGCTACATCGCGCGCCGTGGTCTCTCGACCCTCATCCCCCCCAAGGTACGCCCAACCGCCAGACTCCGTCCCTCCCCGATCCCGGGATCACCTCGTGGTGCAGCTTTTGCTAACAGTGCCGAATTTTGCAGATTGCCTCCCCCAAGGTATGCTTCCGAACCCTCGATTGATGATCTGAACGATTCGATGGACGATGCGATGGACTCAACGGATGCGCCGCGGTGACGGCCGGGCGACTCGGAGCTAGGGAAGGATTTGCTCGGCATCACCCGCGACGACAACAGCATGCGACGACAACCCCAGAACTCGACGACATGGAAAGGTAATAACCGACTGGGAGGAAACGCTGGCTGACAAAGTGAACCACGCAGGCTCTTGGTGCCAACCCCAACGCCGTCAAGATGGCCAACGTTGTCAAGTTCTACGAGAGGCTCCCCCAGGGCCCTGCCCCCCAGGTCCAGGCCAAGGGCATCCTCGGCCGCTACCAGGCCAAGCACTTCGACGGCAAGAACGCGTCGGCGAAGCGTACGTGCCTATTGAGAGACCAGAAGAAACGACAGGTTGAGACCAGTGCTGACAGTTGTGTACAGCCATCATCCACGCCATTGCCGTCCTCCTCGTCCTCGGCTATGCCCAGAACTACTACTTCCACCTCCGTGAGTGCCACAGCGTATCCAGACCGAGACGAGACGGAGACTGACAGCGAGACAGGTCACCACAAGAACAACGCTCACTAAAGTGTGGGCTGGATGAGCTGCGGCTTGGTTCTTCTAGCAATGGCTGGCGGACGTGTACATAAGAATTAGACGTTGTTCAACTGGACCTGATCCCCTTTGTCAAGTTGAGCTGCCGGAATGTATCGATGTTGAAGATTGCGGCCCCTGCAGCTATGGCTGGCGTGTTCGAGGGGTGTACTGAGCTAGTGCTCACTCACTGTCAACACCGGTGATGTGAATATGTTTTTCGTGACGTGTAGGTCGAGTATTGGCTCGGGTTGGTTTAAGTTTTGCCCGCCTGGGCCGTGCAGCACATGGCTCGATGGAGGTGAGCACCAGATCAGTTTGAGAATGTGACAGAAGAATCGCCAGTGCTCGCTCCTAAAGCACATCACTTGCTGCTCGTAGATTTGTCAAACACGGACTGTTCTGCATGATACCACAACCAGCAAGTTTCATGGACAGGCGATTGAAGGGTATTTTGATTTTTCTTGCAAGGCAAACTTCCATGGCTGAATGAGATTTTCACTTGCGAGCTCCAGCAACAAGAATGTCTGGTGTAACATGAGGATATGGTGGTGGGTTGTATCAGGCGCCTACGAGCGGAGGGAGCAAGCCAGTCCCTCTCGAACAGGCGAAAACAGCTGATGCAGCTACAGTGCGATAACGGAAATGCACAGTACGACCAACAGCTGGGGGCTGCGTGCTGAAGCCTACCTACTAGCTCGGTAGCTCGGGCTGTTGGACAGTGAATGTCAGACGCTGAAGGCTGCACCCCCCAAAAGCTCGCAGTATGTCCACTTGGCCCTCCCGGCCGCCTTTGGTAGGCACACGTCCCCCCCCCGGACCTTTTTACCTTGGCTCGCAACAACGCGCGCTAGTCCCCGACTGGGCCTCTTGCAGCTTCTGAAAATCGTCCAGCCGCGCCGCCTCAAAGCTTCCTCCTACCTACCCTACCTCTCCTTCCCCCCCGACCTACCCAAAACCTCAGTTTAGGTATCCGGCACTCCATCATCGGCCTCGGGATCCTATGACATCTATCAGCCGAAGCATCAACACTGTGCATCAGGCCTCATGCGACGTTTCGGTCTTCCCGCATATGACCACGTCACCGAACCAGCAACCACACAGACGACCAGGCCACTCGACCATGACCTCCCCATCCCAGCAGAACACCAACGACGAGACCGACTCCCACGATGCCGTCCTGGACCGCGCATATCTGAACGGCAGCCCTGCCATCGAAGAGATTGAGAACAAGCACATCACCAGCGTCGAAGACCACATCAACTCGGCAGATGTTAGTGTCAGCGGAGGCTCCGACACGGAGGCGTCCCGCGGCGACTCGGCCTCGGCGACCAAGAGCACCGATGGCGACAAGGGCCACCTGCGCAGCTCGTCTACCGTCAAGAAACCCGCCACCTTCAAGGCCGTCTCTGTGAACAAGAAGTTTCTCGCCGCCTCCAAGAGCGCGCCCTCCAACCCCGCCGCGAAACCCAGCGACAAGACAAACACGGCCTCGGGCCTCAGCGCTGCGCCCTCCTCATCCTCTACCCTGTCGGCATCCCGTCCGCGACTCGTCGCCAAGTCGGGCGCTGCAGGTGCCGTCAACAAGTTTTCTTCCTCCTCCAACGGTGGACAGGCAGCATCCGGCCCTGATGCCAGCGCCGTCTGGAACAAGAATCGACGTGAGTCACAGCTCATCGGCAGCAACAGAGAACGTCTGTATCTTTTTTTGAGCACACATGAACTGACCGTCCTGCAGCTGTCCCTCCGCCCGAGCCTAGGAAGTTCACCGATGAAGAGTTGGTCAAGTATGGAGTCCACATCGCGAACCGTCTAGGGCCCGATACGCCGCAGGGACAGAACAACTGGGCCGATATCGACGATGACGACGACGATTGGGCTCCAGATACCATCACCTGGACCGACGGCACCAAGGTCACTTTACCGGCGCAGCCCGAGGAACAGGCAGTGCAGGCCCCAGAGCCTGTTCCGGTTCCAGCCGTCGTCAAGGACAAAGCGCAGTTGATCGAGCCCTCCAAATCGCCAGCGCCTCCAGAAACGGCGACATCACTGCCCAAGTCTAGCGGACTTCCCTCTGGCAAGGGCATGATTCTGAAGCCTGGTTCTGTCGAGAAGCCCACGTTCGTCGCGAAGCCGCCCGCGCCCGCGAGTCCTGCCAAATCTCCTTGGGCCAAACTTCCTCCCGTCGAAAAGTCGTCACCTGCCGCTGCTGAATCACCATTCACCCATCCTCCGAATCACCACCGTCTATCTACCAGGGATGGCCTCCAGCCCAGTATATCACCTCCCCCGCCCGCGAGAGAAATCGCTGCCGACGACTTCAGCAGATCAGCATGGCGTGAGGGAGGCGCGGCCGGTAACCGCGAGCTGTACAACTCGCAGTCTGGCCGCTATGAGCCTGTAGGGGACCGAAGAGGCTCATTCCGCGCCGACCCGCATGCGCGACATCCGGCCGTGATGCAACGTCCTCACCATGACCATCCCGAGCCGTCAGCCGCGTTCCAGACCAGCCGCGCAGCCCAGGAGGGATCCTACGGACGCCGCCGTGGTAGCTCCAACGTCGGAAACGTTCCATATTCCCAGCGAATGCATGACCAGCCACCGAATGCCCGTAGACCCTCATTCGCCGTCTCCATTGACGGTCCTGTCTCGCCAGACTCGGCCCACCCGCCTACCGGTCATGCCGCAGCCCTGCCTCACGCTTCGCCCGCGCTCGCCCAGGCCGTTCCAGCTCAGCCTGCGGTCCCGCAGAGGTCGGTGGAGGAGGACCTTGAGATTCAGAAGAAGGTCATGCGTGAAAGACTCGAGCTCGCCAGGCAACGCCGAAGGGACGAAGAGGCTCGCGAAGAAGCCGAGAAGCAAAAGCGCATCAAAGCTCGACTCGACGCCATGGGCCCTGCCCCCGAACGCAAGAGCGCCAAGGAGCCTTCGAAGGAGGAAGGCGCGCATCCTGCCCATATGCAACAACGTCAAGGCTCTGGAGACTCAGACCCCGCAACCCACCCTAAGGAATCCGCAACAACCTCCAACACTTCTACCACTACTACGGCGACGACGCCTGGCACGGCTTTCAGCACCATCGACAAGTCTGCCGCCGATACGTCGCCCAAGGCCGTCGCTGAACAGCCAACCGCTATGAAGGCTTCCGTGCCCCCGCATCTGCGTGCAGCAGAGAACAAGTCTGCCGGCGACAACTTTGTCCCTCCTCAGCTCCGAGATAAATCGAATAACAGCAGCAACCCATCGTGGGGTTCCGCTGCGCCTTCTCAACCTGAACGCTTCAGTACCGCTACATGGGGACCTCCTCCAGCCCCGCAGGCTGCAGGAAGCGTTTGGGCTCCCAATACACGTGGACTCGGCAATGGCACGTTCAACGCTGCTGTCGGATCGCCCCCCGTCTCTCAGCCTGGCCAGCTTCCCCCCTCGCAATCAAAGAAGGGACCTGCACCGATCGCACCACCTAGTGCACGCAGAGCGAACGAGCCGACAGCTCCCGGAGCACGCCCGGAGCACGCAAACCTCGCCAGCAACAGGAGCAAGTGGTCCAGCGCCATCGCTGATACCGACAGGGCAACCCTCGAACATAGCAGGGCCCGCCAGGCAGAGCAGGACCGCCACCTAGCCGAGCGTGGCATGACGTACGCCGATACTCAACCAGAAGTTGTCGACAATTGGCGACCCTCGGCCAAAAACACCAGTCAAGCACCTCAGGCAGATGTCACTGTCTCGCGTCGCGAGCCCTCACATGCCGACCGTACACCTTCAGCGCCCTTGCTCCCGGGTGGCTCGCCTGCCTCGCAGTCCCGCACCTCCCGTTTCTTCCCCACAAGGGATATCCGACTCGAGTCAGCTGGCCCGGCTGAGCCGGGACGATCAACATCGCCCTCGCCCCCACCCCCCGATATGCTCGGCCATCCCGCATTCGACGGGGATGCGCTGCACCCCCATGTTTCTCTGCCGCGACCCCAACCCGTCGTTCGACTTCCTCCGTCAGCGGCCGCTTCCAACAACGGCCCGAGGTCAGGACCACAGTTTTCGTGGGCCAACCCGGCCCCTTACAGAGATGGAGCCCCTCCCCCTCCCCAAGGCCCTCGGCGTCCCAGCAACGAGTGGGCGCACTCTCGGCCAAGTGGGGGAGATCACAGCCACAAGAGCGCCGGGCAGACTGTCTGGGGTGACAAGTTCCGCGACCTCTTCTCCGACCGAAAGGCCCCTTCAGCCCGCCATCCGATCGTCTCGCCGCCCAAGGCATCCGTTGTTGAGCCTGCTAGCAAGAGTGCTTTCGACGAGCTCGGCCGTCCCAACCCCGCCACTGTGTGCCTTCCCCAGCACATCGGCCAAAGCATTGCCCAAGCCTCACAGGATGCTGCTCGGGGCTTCGCCTCCGCCAAGAAGCGGTTCCGCGACAGCCAGCGTTTCCTGACGACCAAGCCATTCTCGGAGAGCTGCTTCGAGGAGCAGGAGATGGGCTCTCTGCCTCTGATCCGCATGCCGAGGGAGATGCCTGATGCAGCTTGGCACCCCGCGCCGCCTCCGGAGCGACCTGCGCCGAGACGCTTCAACATTATTGAGATCACGTCTGCGCCTCAGTTTTGGATCCCGCAAGATGTGGGACAGGGAGGCCCCGAATACCGGATCTTCCTCCCCGGCATGAACGCGCTCAAGTCGGTTCCCGCACCAGCGCTGCGCTCCCGGAGCAACCCTCGACGCGGTTCCGGACGAGGACCTCGCGCGTCAGCGGCGCCCCGTGGAGGCGGTCTGAAGACGCGAGACAGCACCTCTAGCGATGTCCCGCCACCGACGGCGACACGCGGCGGCCGCGGCGGTTACCGAGGCCGAGGGTCAGACTGGACCCGACGCGGCACTCCCACTCACGCGGCCTAGGCAGTCGGAGGAGAGCAGGTTGTAGTCGAGAACCCGGGCACTTCAGCACGTGATACTGAGACGAATCGAATCCGTGCTCCCGGATCTACGACGTGGCGGAAATCAAACGACTAATTGCCAATAACACCACAGATGCCCGCTCTGGGTTCGTGGACTGGGAGGCTCGAATGGCCTTCAACTCAACATACCCTTTACTTCCGATCCTACATGCCAGAGTCGCATGTGATGGACTGTTTGAGAAGACAGTCGTGTAATAATTTTGAATGAGCGCTTCGATCCCCCCGTATGGCCCCTATGCGCTACGAGGCCCGTCACACCTCGCGGCACGCGTCAGCGGGGACAGCGAAACCAAACGGATATCGTCTTCTTTTCTTGCGATGGGCGTTCGCCTGCGCCGCGCCTCCTTTTCTCCTCTTTTTTCTTCTTCTTCGTTTGATTCCAGCGTTTGCGGCACCACGAGCGAGGCGCGCCACTTTCAATAACACCAAACCCCGAGGGCAGCGTGCTGCCTGATACCACAACACGCGCACACATATAGCAACGCACGGCAACGCAATGCGAAGGATGGATGGCAATGCTGAATTTTGTCTTTCGGGTGGCTGCTGTCCTGTCTTACACAGGGGCGGGCCTGGCTTGCGGTACATACGGCGCAGGATTAGGGAGCGGGGAGCAGGGGGTGGAAAGGGGGCGGATACGGCTTTTTGTGACGATGGATGAGCTGGATGAAGCGATGGAAGAGGGACGAAGGGTGTGAAGGTCTGTCCTGGCGCATAACGGTGCGTGCCTGCGGGAGGACGCGGATGTGCTAGTTAGCGAGAGCGGTTTGCGCGTGTGGCCGACTGGTCTGGTCCGAGTAGGCTAGTGGAGAAACAAGCTGTACTGCGGTTCTTTGGATTCGTGTGATGGTCGGCCCGTGAGCGCGTGTTGTGTGCTTGGCTTTGAATTGTCTTTCTTGGTCGAGAACATGTCTTTTGCGACTTTGTATCTCTGTCTACCAGCAGGTCTGGCTCGTTCTCGCGAGGTGAACGAGGCACACGAACTCATGGTTGGTGTGGCCCGTATTATATCTTGACCATCTACGTTCTGGAAAGGGGGTCCAGCATCATTGGAAGAATTTGCTTGAAATGGACAGTAGGCACTACCATGTAAGAGACGGCAGTGTTGGGTGCACTCGCGCATCACTCTTCCCTGAAACGACTAGGGTTCCTCTGAGATGAGTCAATTGCACTGGCCTACTTCCTGAGATAGGGTGGCAAAGAATCAAAGTTCAAAGATGACTTCGCCTCGAGCTTAACGGTGTGCTCAACTCTGGCAGCACCGGGTCGGATGACCATATCGGCATCAACAATCGATACCTACCACTCTGATCTCCGTCAGGAGCGGCATACTTGATCCTGTGCTTGCTGCTTGCACTATGAAGACGGCCATGGACCGCGCGGAACCTGGAGCCTTTTTTTCTCTATTTATGGCTAGCTTATTACGTTCCAAATATATGTTCGTCCTGTAGACTATGGTCTATAACGCGTTCGATTTACTACCATCATTATGCAAAAAGGAGCACCATTTTTAGCATGAAGTAGTCACGTAAAGTAGGAGCACGAATGCAGCTTGATAGAGATGATCTTACGGGCGTTCTAGCCAAGGCGAGGATGAGCTTCCTTTTGAATTCACACGGGTGAGGAGCAAGAACCTAGTATCTGGGCCGCTCCTCAGTCATCAGTTCTGGTATGACCCGCTGGGGCAGGATCCCATGTACATTTTGGAAGCGTGTGCAAGAGTCCATGCTAGCACTGGCTTGTTCGAGTGCTGGATCTGGAGAATAACCAGAAGATCTGGCAGATACTGATGTCCGAGAACCAAGTGGCCGACAAGCACACTCCGAGGCTGGCAAGACACGTTAACCTGAATTGTTCGCAGGCAGCCACCATGTTCTGGACCACGGCAGTCTCTTCGACATCTTCTATCTTGATCGGGATCTACAATGCTTACCTTTCCTACACACAGCGCCGAGGACCTATGACCAGCTCGTGCGAATTTCTCAGATCCACGGACAACTTGCTCTTATCGGGCTCGAAACTGAAAATGGCGGAGCTGAGCTGACCGGAGCGGACAAGGCAACATATCGGTCCGCCTAAGAGGAACTCAAACCTCGACGACGTAAGAGGAGGCATCATCATCGTGCCCATCAAAGGCTACGATATCATAGGTATGTGGCCCGGCCGGAGCAAATCTGAGGTGGCATGAAGCGAGCGGAATGATCCTAGAGCATCAAGTCGGAGCTATGATTCGAATAAGACGGCGGCAGTCCCGAGTAGCTAGTGCTGTCCCCCGTCACCATGCTCCCGAGGTCCTGAGAGTCGCTCATGACCTCCGCGGATAGTATACCCCTCCCCTTCATTCTATATCGCGTGAGAGAACAGGCGTATTGGGGCTACGTATGGAACCCTAGTTTCCATACCTGAGGTACCTACCTTACTTACGTAGGTACATATCTCCCTTTGAAGATGATGTTCATTCTGAATCGCTGCGATACGAAGTTTGAATCACATTTCCGGCAGCGCTTTTGTTTCCGTCCCTTCTGCCGCATGATGGATTGCTTGTTGTTCACCGGTTGACGCGGAGGAATAAAATTACTTCGTGGTATTGCGGTTGGTGCCTTGGTCTAGCATTCTCTGTTCATCCTCCTCGCTCGGGAACCCTTCTCAACTGCTTCATAACCTCCGTGCTTGAAGCATTGCTCATTCTCTTGGTGATCGGGAAGGCCTACGTATTTAGTCCACTTTCGGTATGAACGACGATTATTGCTTACTTGTACTCGGAGCTGCTTGTGCCAAGTGACCAGACTCAAAGTGAACCCTGCCGTGTTGCACTGCGACCCTACAGGCGCTGGACTTGCAACTTGTCACAGGTTTGATGTATATTGTTGCCCATTGACTACATTGCGTATCTGCGATAGCACTGCGCTTGCTAGTCGATACGAAAATTCATTCAAAGCAACCAAGAGAAGCTGACTCACCTGGGCAGTGCTACGTAGGTCAACGCATCAAGAAAGTATGCACTCGACTCAAAGCTCTTAAGCCACAATTTCACTTGGTCGCCTGTGACATGACACTACACCGCTTTGTAGTCAAAATAACATCATTTTGAGAGTACCCAAATGAAGCTGATCACATGGCTTACACAGCACATCATAAATACATTCTCAGGCCAACGCACGTAGCACGACGTGATTGCATTTCAAGGCCAATACAGCACGACATGAGACATTATGAGGCCGACTTTTGAGCATCTCATCAGATCAAACGTACGGCGTACATATATACGAGAGGATCATTAAAAGAACCTTTCTTCTCAATTCATCACTCGTTCTATCATCTTGGGCAATATCTCCCAAACCACGAGCCACAGCGCTCTCCCAAACGCCATACGCCCCCCATGCATCCAACCGTCCTCATACTCATGACACAACGATACAGCCCCCCGCTTAGTACTCCTCCACCGCGCAGTTGGGGTGCAGGACGTAGACGACCGCCCCGTCACCCGAGGTGGCGGCATCCTCGCCGTCTTCAGCAAGCCCGGACCCCCGGACGGCCATGAGGATGTTCTCCTTGACCATCTTCTTCAGCACGAGCGCCGCCAGCGCCTTCTCCCGGTGGTAGTCCTCCTCGCCCTCCATCTGGTCCTCCGCCTGCTCGAGGTACCACTGCGTGAGGGCATCGCCGTCGACGCCCTCGCCCGCGCCGCCGGCCTCGTCGTCGTTGACGCGCTGCACAAAGAGGTTGACCATGCTAATGTACTTTTCGTACGTGATCGTCTGCTTCTTCTTCTGCGGCTCGCCAGACGTCTCGCCCATGGCGGCGTCGCCCTCGTCGTCCTCGTCATCCGCCGGCTGGCCCGTGGCCTCGCGCGCGGCGCGGCGCAGCGTGGCGCCGTCCTCGAGCGGCGCGTCGACGTCCTCGTCGTCCTGAAACTCGACGTCGTCGTGCTCGACCGAGATGATGCTCTGCCGCAGCAGGTTGTACGCCTCGACGACCATGTGCGGCTCAATCTCGTTGACGCAATTCGCCTTGGCAATGGCCTCAGACAGGCGGATCATGCTCTCCAGCTGGCGGACCGTGATGCGGTAGCTGTTCTTGCCGACGCCGCCCTGGGCGTCGTCGGCACGGAGCTCCTTGTACTTTTCGACGAGCGTCTCGCGCGCCTCTTCGGTGAACTCGGGGCGGAACGTGCGCGCGAGCCGGATGTAGCGCTGCAGCGTCTCCGTGTCGTACTCGGGCTCGACGGCCTCGTCGCGCAGCTGGTGGATGGCGACAATGTGCTCGGCGAGGTGGCGGTCGACGGCCTCGGAGCACTCGTCGAGCACGACGAAGAAGAGATCGAAACGGGACATGATGGGCGCGCTCATGTTGATGTTGGCGCGCAGCGACGTCTTGCGGTTGTAGCGGCCGCTGACGGGGTTGGCGGCGGCGAGGATCGAGGTGCGCGCGTTGAGGGTCGCCTGGATGCCGGCTTTCGCGATGGAAATAGTCTGCTGTTCCATGGCTTCGTGGATGGCGACCTGATCGGCAATGTCCATCTTGTCAAACTCGTCAATGGCGCAGATGCCATTGTCGGCAAGCATGAGGGCACCGGCTTCGATGGTGAACTCGCCCGTCTCCTCGTCCTTCATCACGGCGGCCGTGAGACCGGCGGCGGAGGAGGCCTTGCCACTGGTGTAGACGGCGCGGGGCGCAAAGGAGCAGACATACTTCAGGAACTGAGACTTTGACGTGGACGGGTCACCGACAATGCAGACGTTGATGTCACCACGAAGTTGCATGCCCTCGGCCGTCGTCTTGTGCAGACCGGACAAGAGCTGCAGCAGAATACCCTTCTTGACGACTTCGTGGCCGTAGACCATGGGCGCGATGGAGTTGACGAGCCGCGAGTAGATGCGATCTGTGTGAACCATGGTACGCACCTGCGCGATCTCCTCTTGCGTCATTGTCGCGAGCACGGTAGCCTGCGCCTCCTCTGCATCAATGGCGGATTCGGGTGTGTTGTCGGTCAGCGCCGTCATAATGTCCGACACCTGCGCGTGGGCAGACCGGCCGGACGAACTGTTGTCTGGCAGAACCATGCAGGCGAGGAAGGCAAGGCGGTATGTGAGATCGCGCACACCAAGAGACTTGAGGCCGGAGACGCCTGCGCCGCCAGCGTCGTTACCGTTGCCGGCGCTCTTGTCGTCGCGGATTGAGTAGGCCTTTTGTCCAGGCATGCTCAGCTGGCTGACGTCAGGGACGACGATCAGGGCACCGGTGAAGATGCACTTCTCGCCTGCCTTGGCGCGGTCGACAATTTCTCCTCGCATGATGACGTCCATGGTTCGGGGCATGCTGCCGGTAGGGATTTCGGACGAGTTCTCCTGGATGCGCACTTTTTGCCAATCGATAAAGGTGCTCTGGCGGATGTCGAGCTGCCATGCGAAGCGGTTCTGACAGGTCTGGTTGGGACACAGCGTGGGCTCGGTGTATCGGAATGTCTGCTCGACGTTGGGAATGACCGTCCTGCAGGCCTGGCAGAGGAAGGTGCCGAGAGACAACTCGGGCCTGACCTCGGAGGTGCGCGTGACGGTGCCGGAGATGGAGAGGAGCTGGCCAATGTTGGCGGCGCGCAGACTGCGCACGCGCGAGACGAGAGGCAGGTTGTAGAAGGCGATGGCGAACAGCTTATCGGTCTGCTGGTTGCTCGTCTTGCTGCCTAGCTCGGACTGACTTGCCGAGGCGGCATTGCTCGCAGCTGAGCTCGTCTGGTTGCTCGAGGCCGTGGGCTGACGATGTTCGCGGAAGTACTGGGGTTCGTGCTTGGCGATAGCACCGTGTAGTGCTGCGGTGATGAAGGGAAGGAAACGGTAGTAGTTGGTGGCGACGGCGTCGGAGAGAGAGCCATTTTGCCACTGGCCGAGATGCCTAAAGTCGACGTAGAGGGTGGAGAGCTGGTATGTTCGCATGCCGTGGATCTGGGCAACGTAGTATTTGTCGGTGGTGACGGCACTCGAGGGCGGCGCTCCATGGGGATCGCGCTCTTCGACGAAGCTGGGGTCATTCGTCAGCATAAAATCTTGTGCACGTTGCGGCATAGCGCTCATGACGGAAAAAAAAAGGGAGGCTTTACCCTTCGAGGAAATCTCCAAACTGTTCTTGGATCAAGAGACCAATGCGATCCTCGACCTTGGGGATGTTGGCCGAATCCTGTGGCCTCTTCGATCCGCGCACGACCTGGTCATCGGCGAACCCGTCGCCCTCATCATCACTCGGCGCGCCCGTCATCTCGGAGGGAGGACCTCGCAGGCGGCCGCCGGTCGAAGAACTGGGCGGGGCATAGCGTCTGGCGGTGGGGGTTGTCGCCCTGTCGGACATGGGGTAACCGGCTTCGCTCGAGGCCATGGTTGCGGATGCTGGTATTGAGGCTATTCGAGAGGGCAAGCCGGCAGCGCAACGGAGGCGATAGAACAAGGCGGTGGTGATGGATGGTTTGGAGGGGTGAAGGTGGTTGTCGGGGCGATGGTGTTGAGGCAAGCGAGGGTGAAGTGTGGATTCTGGATGTCGCGACAAGGGCAAATGGGAAAATGGGAAAATGGGAAAAGCCAGGGGTCGATTTCGAGGGGTGAAATGGGACGCGTGGGGCCGCGCCTTGGACGCGTCGAGGCGCGCGACGTTAATTGCTTGCATGACACTAGGCCACATAGGTACTTAACCTGTACCTGCCTACCTAAGGTACCTTACCTACCTACCTTACCTAAGGTACCTTACCTACCACCTAGGTAGAGGTAGCTAGGTAGGTCAAGTACTTGTGCATTCCGAGGTGCGATCTAGCTATGTTTGCCTCGACAATAGAATGATCTTACAGACTTGCCTTCCCATCCGCAGTAGAACGCTTCATCTGCGGACACGGCGGTTGCAACTCTGTTCATTGAGGGAAGCATTTTCAACTACGTATTCTCGGCTTCTAGTTGGTCTCTTTCACAGTGGCGGTTGGCTCTGCATCTCGGTATCGAATGCGACATGCTAGTCTGCCTTGAAGATGAACATTTTATTTATTTGTCGCTTGCAGTCCCTTGCTACAATTTTTTTTTTACTCGCGTGCCCTACGTATCTGACTTGCAGTTACTTTGCTCGGTGATTACTGTTCTCAAGCTCTTCTGTTCCACGCTGTTTATGGCCCTGAAGGCCATGCCCTTCATAACTCGAGCATCATCAACGCCTACGCCGTCCCATGCCTGAATCCCAACGCCCTTTTATTCCCACCATGCTTCTGTCCCGTCATGCCGTCGCCGGTTGGTCCCTCGCGGGCTCGTCGTACTGATGTATGCTCTCAGCAACCTGCAGCCACTCTTCCATGCTCCTGACGTAAGGATCCGTCGCCGCGTCCGCCATGCTTTCCGCGCCCCAGACAACCATCTCATCAAACTCGGCCGTTACCCGGAGTGCGCCTCGTTCAATCTTGTCTTCGTCATCCTCTTCCTCTTGTGGCGGGGCGTCTGGCCTCGGAGCCTCGATCGTTTTGTTCTGTTTCTCGACAACAATGCCGCGGTAGCCCGAGGGCAACTGAACTGATTTGCCGTGCAGTTCGCGACCACGGAAGAATGCCTTTGACTTGCCATCTGTCAACGTGTCAATTAGCGAAGGATCCGGTTGTGGAGGAGAAAGGCTTGCGCACCCGTAGATGTCGTTGGGTTCCAGAAGGACGGCGCCGAGTCGATAAGTCCGTTATGTTGGATGCGGCATGGCAGAAGGTGTGCAACCGCCTTGGGAGCGGCAGCCTTCTCCGAGTGTAGGTTCAAGATGGCGCTCGACATGACGAGACTGTGTTTGGCGGGGATGGACTTGCGATGCGTTCATCAGGTACACGCGTTTCGACGCGTTTGCTGGTGTGTTAATTGTCCGGCTCCACCATTGCATGAGCATTCTGATAAGGAAGTCTGCCACGATAAGCCATGTGAAGTGCCGTCCAAGAATACGGTGCCCTTTTTATGCACCCACATTCCATCTTCCATCGAGCTTGGCGATCAGCGATCTTTGATGCACGATCCCTGCAGTTTCGCAGCTTGGGCCCTCTTGTTTCACGGTGAGATTCCAGTCCCCTCTTCTTCTTCTTTATCAGGTCCCTCGCCGGTGGCCATCTCTTGCAGTCAGTTCAGAATCAGCCTCGCGGCCACCCTTTCGATGGCAGGTCAACATGGAGGGATGCTACCATGTTTGTCACACGCCAGGAAAGCCTCCATGCATCAGTTATCACAGTCTCGTCGGCCATGTGCATAGCATACCAGGCACAAGACCAACGGGTGTAACCGACGAGTGTTGATGTCATCGATATACGCATTTGGACTCTTTGGAGGCATGAACCCCGAAGCAATATCCACTCAGCTCCAGGAACCACAGGACCCCGATCCAGACGACCCTGTTCCTGATCACTGGATTCAGACGACCTTCCCGGGCGTCCCGCTGACAGCAGGGCTGCCTACAATGGCACTATTCCTTCGATTTCCTGATGTATGGCACACGGCGTCTTATACTGCAAACCCGTGAAGAAGCCAAGGACGCTGCCAAGCTGCAAGCCGACGAAACCTTCCACGGCGCTACGGCAGCCATACCGTGTGTGCCATGACGTGCCCGGTTGCCGAGTCATTCCTAATGCTACCAAAGCTGGGTCGATCCGAGTCCCGCTGGGCCTGGCGTCGAAGGTTAGCTGCACATCTTACAAGAGCCCGTCGGATCACACGTCGGCCGCTCTGTCAGAGACAGACAGCGCCAGATAGGGACTCGTCGCAGCCAAACACGGCACAAAACAGCTACCCCTGCAAATCCTCGAAGCACTATTCCCAGCATTGACCCCCGGTCCTGGCCCACGCCTCGCGCGACGGACGGTGAGATGCCATTGCCGACCACCGAGACACGACAGACCGCCAGACCAGCGCTGGCGCTGGCGCATCCTGCGGCCTCGATCAAGCAAGCGCCCATGCTTCCCCACGTCTGTCGCATGGGGATGATCGATGGTGAAAGAGGATCGCATGGGCCCTCGCGCCGTGCCACCGGAAGCTTTTTTTGTTGTGCCCCTCGTCTCTCCCCTCTTCTCTGTCCTTCACTTCCCCTTTCCCCTCTGAGCATCCTACCTCTTTCAACGCTTTCAAAAGCTCAATTGAGTTCGGTCAACGTCTCTCTCGTGCGAATTGTCCTCATCATTTGCTCCAACAGTGCCCTACCGCAGCCTCCTGCCGCTGTCAACACCCCGCCGTCATCATGCCCAAGCTCCCTTCGTTGCTCCCCGCGGCCGTTTCGCAACCTCTGTACCGCAGCACAGAGCTCGTGCGCGGCGCCGTGGGAAGCTTGACCTGGGGCCCGGCCCTCGCCGTTGCAAAGCCTGCCATCCTGTCCGCCTTCTCCACCATCGAAAAGGGCACATTGCTGCTCGTCGACAAGCCGGCCGAGACGAGGACTGTCTTTGGACAGAAACTAGGCGCGACTAAGCAGATCGTTCGGGAGACGACGCCGCGCCGCGCCGATGCCGTTCCCCGCGTCGAGCTCGTCGTCAAGAGCGATGCCTTCTGGATGCGCCTGTTCTTATTCGCCGACATGGGGTTCGCAGAGGCATTCATGCTTGGCGAGGTCGAGTGCGAGGACCTGACAGCCTTCTTCCAGGTGAGCAGCTGTTGGGCTTGTGGAAGAGGTGGGGAATTTCTGACGCGCGACGGCAGCTCTTCATTGTGAACCGAGAGGCTATGGGCAATGGCACGACCTGGATCTCGAGCTTCTCCTCTGCCATCTCGAGTTTGGCGCGCACGACGAACACGCTGTCCAACGCCCTTCTCAACATCTCGGCCCACTACGACATTAGCAACGACATGTTTGCCGCCTTTCTCTCACCGGACATGACGTACTCGTGCCCGATCTGGAACCTCCACCCTGATCCCAGCGCTCCAGAGGAGACAATGGAGGCGGCCCAGATGACCAAGCTCCACCGCTTCATCGAGGGCGCCCATCTCAAGGCTTCCGACCACGTTCTCGAGATTGGTACCGGCTGGGGCTCCTTCGCCATCGAGGCTGTCAAGACGACCGGGTGCCGTGTGACAAGTCTGACGCTGTCTAAGGAGCAAAAGGTGTTGGCCGAGGAGCGCATTCGAGATGCTGGACTCCAAGATTGCATCGAGGTTCTGCTCATGGACTACCGCGCCCTGCCGACGCCAGAGAAGCCGTACGACAAGATTGTTTCGATTGAAATGCTCGAGGCCGTGGGTCAGGAGTTCTTGGGCACCTATTTTGCGTGCATTGACCGGCTACTGAAGAAGGAGGGCGGCATTGCCGTGTTCCAGTGCATTACCATGCCCGAGGGGCGCTACGAGGCGTACGCCAAGACGGAAGAGTATGTGCAACGAGCGACGGCCTTGGTGAAGGTACATTGACTAACTTGGGCGCCAGTTTCATCAACCACTATATTTTCCCCGGCGGCCACCTACCGACCATCACGCAGCTGCTGAATCACATTGTCACCGAGTCCAAGGGCACGCTCATCACAGAGAAGGTCGAGAACATCGGCGGCCACTACGCGAAGACGCTGCGGCTCTGGAAGGAAGAGTTCATGCGCAACTTTGACGCGACGATTAAGCCGGCGCTCCTGAAGGAACATCCCGAAATGTCGGAGGAAGGTGTCGACGTGTTCAGGAGGAAATGGGAGGTAAGAGATCGACGCCCTCCACGTTCCTGCCATGACTCAAGCTAACTTGGCAGTACTATTTCACATACTGCGAGGCTGGCTTCGCGACGAAGACGCTGGGCGATGCCATCATCACAGTGGGCAGGGAGGGCGCTCTGGAGTTAATGGAAGGCATTCCGCTGTGATGAACAGGGAGAACTGGCACTGGGCGGGCGTTTGGGCGTTTGTAGATCTTGTCAAGCTCGAATTGGCAATTTTCAATTTGAAAAGGGGGTATTCATGCCGCTTTACCTGTCCACCCATCCATCATCCCTCGCTCAGGGGAAGGGGGCGAACATTCTATTTCTTCTTCTTCTTAGGCTTCTTTGCCGCACTCCTGGCCCCCGGCGCAAAAGCCGGGAAGCGATTCGTATTGTCGACATCAAACGCCGGCTTATGCCTCCTGAAAAGCGCCATGGTCACCTTGGCATCCTCGACGCTAGAGTGCGCCCCCTGCTGGATCTCGACCTTGAGAATCTCCCCCGCCAGCTTCCGCAGCGCCGGCTTCTTGCCGTTGCCGTATTGCCGGAAGCCGGGAAACTTGGACGTGTCGCGAATGTCCTTGATCGAGTGGGTCAGCTGGAGGGCGTCGAGGTCGTGCTTGACGTCGTGGCCGATGAGGATCCTGTCCTGGAGCAGCTCGGCAACCTCGGCCTGGACGTCCTCAAACTCGCGCGCGAGGCGCATCTTGCGCGGCGCGATGCCGCTGACGGCCGTGCGCCAGTCTGTCACCTTCTCACGCGGCCGCACAAAGCTGTCGTAGACCTGTCGGCCGTGGAAGTCGACGAGGCTCACGCGGGCCAGCACCGACTCGTACCCGCCCTCGCCGACGCCGACCATCTCGCAGTCTATGGCGACGTACTTGCCGACGTCGAGACCCGGCGTGCGCCCGGCGTTCTCCTTCTCCGGCTCGGCGAGCATGGCATTGCCGGGGAGGCCGAGCCCGTAGGCCTCGGCCAGCGATTCGGCCGACACGTCGTTCTCGGCGGCCCAGGCGGCGAGGGACGGCGAGGGCCCCGTGCGCGCCGGGTCGGCCACCTTGGACGACTGCGCGGCGCCCATGCGTGCGGCGAGGTCGGCGGGCACGCGGCGGGCCCTGGCCGCGGCCGAGGGCGGCGGGCGCGGTGTGACGGTGGTGCTGGTGCTGGCGGCTGCTGTCTTGGAGACGACGGGCTTCTTCTGCTTCTTGGCGGCCGAGGCGAGGGCTTTGCCGGAGGCTTTCCGCTTGAGGGTGCTTGGCGTTTTGCCGTCTGGTTGGGAGGAGGACTCGGCCTGGATCTGAGCCTGCAGCTGCTTCCAATTGGAGGAGAGCTCGCGTGCCATGGTCTTGGAGAAGTCGTTTCTGTGGGTGAATGAGAACTCAGACGGGCATGCTGTTTGAGTTCTTGCTGTGGACCCGATTTCCGTTTATTGCCTGGTCAGAGTGATGAAATTTGCATGAGAGCTCAAAAGAAACGAACTATGATGGACGATGAAAATGAAGATGGAAGTTCTTTCCAGAGGGTCTTGAAAAGCGGGAATGCATGTACCGGGGTCTCCATGCAGGGATTCTCGCCGCTAGCCTGACCGCCTTCGTCGTCGTAGTGGCGGGCGGCCATTTTCTGCCGCGACCGCCCCATCTAAACTTCGAGAACATGCGGCGCGACTCCATCTTTCCCCCATCACGACCACCATTCAAACTACACACCACCCGAATTCGAATCCATCAAGGAGAACCACAACCACGACCGGTTCCATCATGACGCAGCCCGAGCCGACTGTCGGCAACGATGGCCCTCGCCAAAAGGGCCGCGCGACGCCCGAGACCATCAAGGTCGGCTGCATCGCCTGGGTCGAGAAGAACGGCGTGCCCCGCCGCGCCGAGATCCTCAGCATCAAACAGACCAAGAGCGGGCGGCAGTTCTACTGCAACTTTGACAACTTCAACAAGCGTCTCGACGAATGGGTGCCGCTAGCGCGTATCGATTTCGACCAGGACGTCGAGTGGCCCGGCGTCGAGAAGGAGAAGCCGGCCAAGGACACGAAGAAGAAGGGCGCCGTCGCGACGTCGAAAAAGACCCAGGGCAACAAGAAGGCGCAGAAGAGGCCCGGCAAGAGAGAGCAGTCTGTGGCCTCGGCGTCCGAGGTCAACACGCCGCAGCATCCATGGACCGATTTCGTCGATTCGCAGCAGGGCCGCAAGGCCACGCCGGCCGAGGAGAGTCAGGCGCCGACGCCCGCTGCTGCGGACACCACCTCGACGCCCGCTGCAGGTGGCGACGACATGGAGGTGGACGGCGACGAGGGTGCTGCCGCGGCGGACCAGAAGAACGGCGAGGTCAACGGCTTCAGTCGTGACGCGGAGATTGAGAAGCTCAGGACACACGGCAGTATGACGCAGAACCCAGCCGAGATCTCTCGAATCCGAAACATCTCCAAAGTGCAGTTCGGCAAACACGATCTGTTCCCTTGGTACTTTTCGCCGTACCCTGAAATTTTCGGCGCAGAGGATGTCATGTACATCTGCGAGTTCTGCTTGGGATACTACGGGGACCTCAAGTCGTTCACGCGGCACCGCATCAAGTGCACCCTGCAGCACCCGCCTGGCAACGAGATCTACCGTGACGACTCGATTTCTTTCTTTGAAATTGACGGACGAAGGCAGAGGACATGGTGTCGCAACCTCTGTTTGCTGTCGAAAATGTTCCTTGACCATAAAACGCTCTACTACGACGTCGACCCTTTCCTATTCTACGTCATGACGACCAGAGACGACAAGGGCTTTCACTTTGTTGGTTACTTCTCCAAAGAAAAGGAAAGTGCAGACGGTTACAACGTGGCCTGTATTCTCACGCTACCGCAATACCAGCGAAAAGGCTACGGTCGTCTCCTCATCCAGTTCTCGTATGAGCTCTCCAAGATTGAAGGCCGCCTCGGTTCTCCCGAGAAGCCTCTGTCCGATTTGGGTCTTCTGAGTTACAGACAGTACTGGGGTGAGAATATCATTGATCTGCTGCTCGGGCTCAATGAGCGCGAAGACAAGGCGACCATCGAGACCATCTCTACGCAACTGTCAATGACGACGCAAGACGTCGAGCACACACTCGGCGCACTGAGGATGCAGATTTACCACCGTGGCGAACACAAGATTGTGATTCCGGAAAAGCTGGTGCAGCAGAGGGAGAAGCAGAAGACGAAGAAGAGGCGCCTCATCGATCCAGCGCGGATACAGTGGAAGCCTCCCGTCTTCTCCGCATCGAGTAGGACGTGGGCATGGTAGATGAGACGACGCGCGGCTGGTCAGGAGTTTGTCCTATAGTTAATGATACCCCCTTTCCTTATTGAAGTCTGGTCTACGTCTCCGGCTCCAGGTCAATCCAGAGCTCGACGCCTTCGGCAATCTCGCCTCCAATTCTCTTCGCCTCGGTTCCCCGCTCGGTCAAAATTGTCAACTTGATTTTCTCCTTCCCACCGCCGGTCGCTGTTCCATCCCGAACCCTGACGCGAAGCGCACTTGGAGGACCTTCCGGCGCCGCCAGGTCCCAGACTGTCCATCCATCCCCGCCCGAGCGCCCCTCCACCCCCTGAATACGAGCATAGACCTCCAGCGCCTCCTGCGATGAAACGCTCACAGCCAAGGCCCCGACGCCCCTGGCGCCGGACGGGTGCCGCACATTCTCGGGCCCGTGATACGGCACACGCAGCCGCCGGTCCGTGCGATCCAGGCACCAAAACGGCAGCTCGCCGCGAGTGAAAGGCACCGACGGCACCGCCGCCTCGGGGAACGACGTCGCCCACCTGATCTCCGTGCCGTCCTTCTGCGTGCGGCCGCCCGTCCTGGGCTCGGGGTAGCGCAGCGGCGCGGACCCGCCGGCAGCGATGCGTTCGCGGATCGGCGCGAAGCGCGCCTCGGGCGTGGCGGTGCTGTCGGGGCCCGCGGCCAGGCTGAGGGCGTAGTCGACGAGGTGGCCGTCGGGCTCGCGGCCCCAGGGGTGACTGGCGCGGTCTTCGGGAGCGACGTGGGGCAGGAAGGCGATGAGCTCGAGGTAGGTCCCGTCCGGGAGGAGGACGAGGGTGTTGGCGGTGCGGTTGTCCGCGTGCTGGCCGCCGGGATAGAGGTGGAAGGCGGAGCGGAGCCATGAGGGCGGGGAGATGAGGGCGGAGTGGGGGAGGAGAATGACGAGGTGGTCGAGGAACGGAGTGGACATGATGGGCAGGCTCTCTGGGAGGGGTGGTGTTTCAATGCAGCAACAAGTAGATATCTCTCTCAAGAAGGTCGGCCGGCTACGAGGAATCGCTTTATAAGGCGTTGGGACTTGATGGAGCATGAGATGAGGCGAGGCCCCGCTGCAATGGTGTCATGCATTGAGCATGGTTCTCTTGACGGAATGCCTTGACTGACCTTCTTAAAACAAGAGGACTGTCGACAGCGAACCGGAGAACAGCTCGTTACCATTGTGCCAATGCTGGTGCGATGCGGGGTTCAACGGAACTTAGTCAGCTGCGTCATTGAGTTCAAGCTGATGCACGGCGATGCCATTGCCATGCCTGAAATCAAGATACTTGCTAGACATGTTGTCTTTTACGTCCGATCGGTACACTGTCCAGTCGAGTCGGATGTAAGAACGGCGCCGACGCGTGAAGCACGAGGAGGAACGCTAGTTCTGTTCTCATGGTCCCGTCCGCCGAACGATAGATACATGCCACTTACTTACATGCGTAGCTTGCTCTTTGATACAATTTCACCAAAGATAGCTGAGGTCAATGAAACTATCGTTTACCCCTAGGATGACAATACTTGGATCCAGATACGGTTTGCCCAAGTTAGCTAATATACATCGAGTGGTTATTTCCCTCTAGTATTAGTACAGTATTGTTACAAAGCAGACGCCGTTTTCCGGTCACGCCACGCCACCTCGGTGCAACGCAGCGGCGGAACCACTGCTCGCCTGGCGCGGCCGAATTCAATGTCGCCAACGGGATGCAATAGAAGCGCACCCTCTGATCATCTATCTAGCCATCCATACGGGATCAGCGTCATCTGCCACAGCGTCTTTGAAAGCATGTGCGTCCAGCCAGCTCTCTGCCGTTTCCTTCTGGGCGTACTGGGCATAGAACTTATCCAGTGACTGGTTCAATTCTATTCAGTGTTAGCGCCGTAACTTGGTAAGGTGGATAGATGTGCTCAGACCTTGTAGCGGCATGCCACGCGATGGCTGAAGCGTGAACCTGGACATATACTCGTTGATGAGGATGAGGTGGCTAGGGATTGGGGTTCCTATTTCGTTTATGTCAGGTTACACGGCTATTGCATTCATGGAATCCGCTCCTACCCTGAGCAATGGTGTACACAAATGGCGTGTCAACCTCGTGCCCTTCATCTTCTCGGTCAAGCATGTAGTCAAAGTGCATGCGAATGAGCTCTTGCATCATGAACGTGTTGGGGAACATGACGGCGCCATTCGAAACTGTCAAGGGTTCAGCCCTGTGCTCCATGGAAGCCGGCCAGACTACCAACCAGATCTGTTGAAGGCCGGATATACAATGCCGGTGGGCTCCACAGTCACCCCCTCGTCAAAGATATCATGTGGCCTCTCATCTTCTTCCTTGGAATCGAACAGGGACGAGACGGGCTTAGGGGCGTAATAGTGAAGAGTGGCAGGGAACGACGAGTATATCGCCTTGGCTGAAAACTGTCGTCGAATCACGACTTGCGGTCGGGTTTGGAGGACAGTGCTGCGAGCACGCCTGGAAATGGCGGCAAAGGGACGGTTCATCTTCGTACCTCAAAGGAGTTTGATGTGATGATGAACAGTGCGAAGATAGGTACGATACCTACCCAAGGTACTCACGGGCATGGAATAGAAGGCCAACAGGTCTCGGTGTTTAGTTTGGCCGAGCGTCGTCAGTGACCTATCGGATAGCCCCAGTGCAGAGTTGGGTCCACCTCCAATTGGTACCCGGTCCAGGGGCGTCGGCTCTCACCAACTCTCTGCGACGCAGATCTATAGAATATCGCACCTGTCTTCTACTAGGTGTACATTACGAGCATCCAAAAACAGGACTTCTTGAAAGCAACCAATTGCAGTGTTCGTGACATCGGTGGGCGGCCTGCGCTACAAAATGATGACAGTCAGACTGAAAAGCAAAGCAACAAAAAACACGAAGGAAACCATTTGACAAGTACTGTCTCATTGACCAAGGTCGACACACGTACCTTTGCGACCCGAAGTCAGACCAGGAGCTCATATCAACGCTTCTTGTGCTTTTTAGACGAGGAGCTGGCCTCGGTATCCTTCGTTTCGATTTGCCAAATGTACTCCCCGTTCTCGTCGAAAGAGTAGTATCTTTTGTACTGTTCGCTCCAAATCCATTCAGGCTGGTTCAAGGCGGGTTGGCTAGAGGAAGTGGATGGTCCGGCAGAAGAATCATACTCTTGGCCAGTCTTGAAGGCCTCGAGCCACTGCTTCTTGCTATACACCGTTGCGTTCGTCTCGAGGAATCGCGTAATCTTCTTGCCGAGATCTGACCCCCATAGTAAGTTATATCTCCATCTATTGCTTGCTATTCAGCGGATACCACGTACCTTTTAGTTGCATTTCGACCGCCGGCTGGAGCGAATAATGGTCGGTATGCTCGTGGACCAGGATCAGGTCGTCGGGCAATATGGTGCCTTTGAGAGTCAGGATTGCTCTTCGACGGGGACTATGGCAGACGGCTTACCCTCAGGAATCGCGTAGACGACCACATTGGACCCCTTGAAGTCTTTTACCAGCTTCGTCTGCAGGTCGCCGAGGGGCCGCATGGAAGCTCCATTGGGGGCTAGGTCGGGATATCAGGATCACCCCGCTAATCATACACCACGGCAGCAGATAGGTAGGTCACATACCTTGATAGGTCACGGGATCCAAAGCCTTCGGCAGAACCATTCCGGCTTCCGAGAAGACATCGAAGCTTTGGCTTCTCCGAACTGAATATTCTCGAAGCTTGATGCTCGCGCCAGCATTGAGGCGGAACAGGAGAACGGGGACATATTTAAACGACGCAATGTAATTCGACATGACGAAGCCGAAGGGGATGGATGAGAGGTCAGCAAATTGACTGGAGAAATAGTTCAGAACCCAGAGATTGTTAGTATCGTGAACTCTGGAAGCAATGATTCAGATGAGATCTTGATACTGGATTTCGACTTCAGCTCTGTACAGACCTGTCCTACTTATAGCTTTTCGACAGGCACATGCCGATTCTTTCTACTTCGTGTTTTCCGGCTGCTGTTGGCATCTCAGGACAGCCAGATCCTTTGCTGCTTGTTAGATACTGGCATCTTCTTGTACCTGTTGGCCCATCTTGACCCATGTTGATCCGTTTTGGTCCATTCTGATGCATGTTAGCCCATGTTGGCAGACAGACAACATATCACCAACAGCGGCGACAAGAAGATTGTCAAGGAATCAGGCGACTTCGACAAAGTTTGGAGACGGCTTCTTTGAGTTTGGCGGTCGTGTACCAAATGTTGGAAGAAAAGACAGTCTTTCATTGTTCTAGCAACAACACGACGGAATCTCGCTGTCGAACCGCGCCGGCCTCCATCTTCTAGACGAGCAAGAATAGTTCATGGAGGCATGGAATTCTCGACACTCTGTTGAAGAAACCACCCCGAAGCTCGGTATGGAGTTGAGAATAGCGCCTCCAACAACCCATCATACTTGTTAGCACGAGGCCGACACCCCAATCTCAGAAGCAACTTCGGCACGCAAATCGACGACTAGGTCAGAGTTGACTGTCGGTAGTGCGGGTTCTTTTCACCCAGTTTCGAGTTCACAGTGTGCTATCTGAGGCAGACGTTAAGGTGGAATATCGCAGCTTGGCATGCCCGATGCGACGTTTCGCGCAATCTGTCCACAAGATGAGGCATCGAATATCTAACTTCTTGCGTGATAGCAGTCTATGAAGAAATCACCTGCTCATTACCATAATGAAAGAAGGAAGAAACTCAGGCTATCAACTTCGTTGCTATGTCTTTTGAAAATTTGAGGCCTCGGTGGCTCTTGGATAGGCTTCCAGCCACTCCTCCCTCGTGAACACCTTGGCATTGGCCATGAAGAAGCGTGTTATCTTTACTTCCAGCTCTTTTAAGGTGGATCAGCCTTCAGTCGCAGCGCCCAAAATACATAACGACTCACCTTCAAGGCCCATCGCCGTTGATGGCTGCAGGGAGTAGTGGTCTGACCGCTCGTGGACTAGGAGAAGGTCTTCAGGAAGTGTGGTCCCTTCGCCGCATTTGTTAATATCTCTTCATCATCGCGCCAGAGTTCAAAGGGTGCAATCGAGTGCTGTTCACTTACCCTCGGCTACTGAATAGACAATGGTGTCATTGCCGCGGAAACGCCAGGACACCAGCGATTGCTGGTAGGGCGAATTGGGCCTCATGGATGCGCCGTTGGGAGCTAGTACGTCCATGATTAGGATCAGTAGGATATGAAGCGGCTCAGAGTCTCCATTCGGGATGACTGACCTACGTAACTGGATGGCTCCAGAGCTTTCGGTCGGACGACTCCATTTTCCACTACAATGTCATATGTCCGTCGCTTGGGTGACCAGGCGCGCACCTTCACTGCAGAGCCATTGTTCACGCGGAAGAGTTCCTTGGGGAATCTTTTGAACACGGAAACCAGACTAGGCGTCGACATCTTCAGGGCTCTGTGGTGGTGATGGCGGTGGTGATGCTGCGAGCGGTCTTGACTTGAACATGGATTGATCGAGGTGGTGATTTGGCTTGTCGGTGCCTTAGGCAAGAATACTACAATCGGGCGAATGAATGCCTTGTGACGAAGAGGTTCAGCTAGGCTCGCCCCGATGCCTGTGCAGTATTTCGAGGCTCGGCTTCAATCATGGGCAAAATAATGGATTGAACACCAGCAGACGGGGTAAAAGTGTCTGTGTGGGCATCCGGCATGCTCTCAGGATAGATAGGAACGGGTCCCACAATTGGCCTACCCATTGAAAACGGTTGAACCTAGAACCAAATGCTGCATCATAAAGCCCATCTGCTTATCATGTTTGTAACACGCTGCATTTTATAACATACGTTCTCTTAGGATTACTTGAGTTTGCTTGATGGGTTGTTGGTCGGGATCAAGTTAAATGTTATGTCCTCGAGTGTCGAGAGTAAAGCCGCTTCGCTTACGCATTCTTCCGGAAGTTGGTGCAAGGATTCAAAACTGGGCAACATGCGGCTGACAGGGACCTTCCTGCGGCAAAGCAACAACCCCGCCGAAGTTCATCGTGAACCAGCATTCATCTGTCGGCATCGAGCTCTACAGACAGAATGGAATACCTTTCGACACCGAAAAGCTCGAGACTCTCGCCTGTCATTGTACCTTATTTGCCTGGGTTTAGTCTCGATGACGACGAGTTCAGCTCGTACCCAGACCGCGCCGGCTGTGGACATAAGCAGATTCTTGACATCACACTCCCCGCCCGGAAGCTTGCCAGCCTCGCCCAAGAATGGCTGTTCTTCGGGCTGATCGACGGTCTGCTCGGTTGTTCTGTGGAAAGATCTCGATTCATCAGCAGCGACGGGCAATCGATCGATGCCACAGCCTTGCAGGCGATTATGACCCAGGTCACTCTTGACCTCCGATCAACAGAAAGCCAAGGGCGTATCGAGACAATCCAGCACAGACTTCAAACGGCTGTCGACGCCAGCAAAAGGCTGGAACGGGTGGTCACGGACGATGAGCCGAGCATTGCCATCTTCTTGTCAATCAGAATACTGACGGACTTCATCAGTGGCTTCATTGACACTGGCTTGCTGGCCGGAGATTTCTATGGCTTGGCAACAACCACACTGACATCGACTCGGGCTCCCCATGTTACAGTGCTTGAGGACGCATCTGTCAAGCTTGATGAACTGACACCTGTGCAACGACTGCTATTTGACCGGCTCGAAGACAACGGCTGGTGTCACTCACAGATCATCACCGTCTTTTGCCGCACCGAGCACCTCATGGTCTACTATCTCAGCTTTCTGGACCGTGATGAGGGCCCTGACATAAACCATGGGTCCTGTACCTATCTCCTCTGCAAAGCATACAACACCAGCGCGTCCACCAAGAGCGCGCGTCACGTTGTTGATGGTTGTCAGTGCGCTCTGGTCAGCCTGCCTGAGAAGGAACTTGTGCGCATTATCGAAAGTGATAAGATTCCGCTGGTGAGAATCAAGATAGCGGCGGATGAAGAAGCTTTTTTAGAGCTCGAGGCGTGCTCAACGTTTTCGGATGCGCAATACACAGCCATGTCACATGTGTGGATTGACGGGATGGGCAACCCCGAAAAGAACGCACTGCCGACATGCCGGCTCACCAGGATCGCCAAATCCCTATCGTCGCATGACCAACTCGGCGAGAAGTCCACTCGAACGCCTAAACGGAGCCCACTCTTCTGGATGGATACTCTCGGCATTCCCGTGTCTCCACAATATGCCAACATAAGACAAAAGGCCATCAGCAGAATGGCACTTATCTATACTGCAGCCGCTCAAGTCCTTGTTGTGGATCGCGATTTGGAAAATATGAGCATCTCAGAACGCTCTACTGCGGAACTGACTGCGTGGACGGCAACTTCTAAATGGAACACGCGGTGCTGGACCCTGCAAGAAGGGGTTCTTGCACGGAACTGCCTTTTCCAATTCAAAGACACAGTTGTTTCGATCACTGTTGAGGATCGTTTCGCGCAAGACATGAGGATGTTCGCTCATGATAAGCCATTCTGGTATGGCCCTGTGATAGGGGTCTACTGGTTCGGGGAGCGTCTCGGGTGGACCACCATTGCTGCCGCGAATCGGTGGATTGACGGACCGCCAATCAACCACGCCACTGTTGCAAAGGGTGGGCTGTTCTACGGCACCGAGCCAGCGGAGAATATCACAAAAGACCTGATATATCGTGCCTTAAGGCTGGCAACAAGCTCAATCTCGGCTCAGAGGCGACCGTTAGAACAGTTCCGGCACAATGCCGCTCCCCCGAGCCCCGAGGTCAAGTATCTACGCCTTCTAGATATATGGAACCTCCTAGGTCGACGGCATACTACCAAAGCCGAGGATCTTCCAGACATAATTGCCAATCTGACGGATGTCAGGGCCTCCCGACTGAGAGACTTTGATGAGTCAGTTGACAGAATCAAGGTCATTCTCAACTGCATGGATACATTTCCCGCTGAAATCATGTACAACGACTATCCCAGACCTCGCGCGGGCAAAAACTCCGCCGATCGATGGATTCCCTCGAGTCCTGGAACAGAACAGGTATTTGGAGACGCGCGAGTGTCGCCCAAGCCTGATGGCCTTCTTGTGTATTCGGGGGCCTGGCTCACGTCGAGGGTCTTGAAGTCTGGGATCTTGTTGACAGAGCCAGGTGCTATGCTTCTATCGACCTTCCGCATTCGTGTGACCCAGAACGAAACCAATTTTGAAGTCATTCTGAAATGCCTACTACCAGAACAGGATGAATTCCTGAGGAATGAAAGCCAGCAAGCCTGTCTGATGCTCGACATACATGTTCCAAAAGTCCAAGGCAAACTCGGTCAGATTACTGATGAGGTGCTGGTTCGTGGAGCCAGGTTATTGCTTCTCTCGTCAAGCGAATTGGGTAAGAAGCATGGAACTGTGCGCGCAAGGTTCGATTGTCCTCTTCGGGGGGTTGCTCGAGTCTGCAAAGAAGAACAGGCCCCGCCTGTGGTGGTCATTCAACCCCCTTTGATCGCGTTACGGGAATTGCCTCCCGTTTGCGACACGTTCATTGAGCAATGTGAGTCGGTATTCGTCCTGCGCCACATATGTTCCTTTTTCTGACATGTTTCATAAGCCCTGGATGAAAGGGTTCTAAAGGCTTGCGCGAATGGTGGCAAAGACGTCAACATTTCCAGGTACCCAGACAAGCGACCACTCATGCGCCAACTGAAATTTGGTTCAACAAACTTGACAGTCCTTGTTGGCTTGGTCATGGTCCTCAAAGCCAAATACTCATGTGGTCTGCAACGCACCATTCTCATGCGACTTGCTGATGTGATCGGTATGAGTGGATCTTTCATTCTCGTTCATGTCATGCGTTTCATCAGCTACTTGGAAGAGGTAGACATGCTCAACAGGCGCAAGGCGATGTTTGAGGAGGGATTGACGCGCGGACAGTTGATTGGCAGTTGGTGGGTGAAGCTGTCACTGATTTTGTTGCCGAATGTGATGCTGGCTATTGGTTTGGTTACCTCTATTTTGCTGGGCACTTTGGTGTTCGACTGGGACAAGGGGTTCATGAGAGAGTGGACGTATTATAGCTATATTAGTCCCGGACCTGGGGACTACGTGGGCCGTTGTCATCGATGACTGATGGGACGCTGGATTTTAAAGTTGCTGCAGCTCATGTATCGAAGGTAGGCGCAACTGTCAGAGCAAGGCTGTACGCAGGGTGCAGTGCTATTCAACAGATTCTTGCCGCGATCAAATGTTAGGTTTGTGGTAAAATAACATCCAAAATGAATTTTTACAGCGGAAAATATTGCCCGTTGTCAGTGCTTGGTTTGGAGCAGTGTGGGGAGGGCTTCCATGCGTAGTCGGAAGGCAATAGATCATGGGTATAGGGGTGTGATACATATCAATTCTAGCCCTCCGTAGCTTGAAGGGCCCTCCGCGGTCCTTATATATACGCTCTCGTGACCCTTAGCCCCTGACTAGCCCCCAATGCCGTGGCTCCGTAGGGGTCTCCTGATAGGGCATCACGTTCTCCAATTAAGTTTATCACGCCGAATGGAGAGATGAAAGTATGATATGAACCCTGAGTAATGATAGAAGGTCTAGAAGACGGTCGAAGAGAGACTCACGCTTGACCGAATTGCAGTCGAGATCTATCACGACCTCAGGGGATATATCACTGGAGGTGGCGACCTGGAAGAGACTCAACTAGCCGAAGTCAAGTCCTCATGTCATTCCTGTTACTGCGCTCTAATACTAGATTCTTCTCTTTCAAGCCGCATCTGCATTGCTGGCATCTACGCTACTATGATCCATCCTCTCCATAAATCCTGTGAATACATCTCCCGCTAGCAAGCCACCTGATGCAAGCGGGCGGGCGTGAGACAGAGATACACCAACATAATCTTGGTCCAATTTGGTGGGAGTCGTTATGTCCAATACGTGGATCAGTGGTGCGCTTCGGTGAAGGTCAAAGCCCCTCCAAGCCTTTCTGGTATGCTGGCAAAGCCCACCTCGTCATCCAATCTGACTCCATCACCCTCTTCACATCTGGTCGTTCGCTCGGCCTCCATGCAAGCATCCACCATAGGAGTTTAAACAGCGCATCCCGCTCCTCCTCACTAATCGTTTCCATGTTCCTAGACTGTCGCGGGTTTTGAACCCACTGCTCGAACCGTCGTTCCCAAGACCAGATATCAGATGCGTTGCTTAAAGGCTTGCCGCCGTCATCGTACCACTTCGGGCGCTTCTCCCATTTTCCCCACCATTCGGTTGGCATGAGGCCCTGAAGCTCTACCTGCTGCGCTGTAATCTCGTCCTGCGGTGCGAGGAATCCGTCGATAAGCGACCTATGGGCGAGGAGCTCGAAAATCACACACCCCAGACTCCAAATGTCAGAAGAAAATGCGAGGGGCGTTGCGGGCTCAAAAAAAGCCTCAGGCGGGCGGAGGATAAGGGGTGTGTATGACTCGAATCGAGACTTGTCGCCTGGGCAGAAGGCAACTCCAAAGTCGCTCAGTATAAGCTTTGCCTCGCCTAGGGTGATCTCATTGCTCGGTACGCCCAGCCACACAGAAGGCACCACGTAGGAAGGGACCCCGAGGTCCGCCGACGCTGCCTGCGTGTCGAGACGGACAACTGGCTCTTGCTCTGGCTCTCCGTACCGCGCGTAAAGTTGCTGTATCGATAAGTCGTTGAGGGATGAGGGTAACTGTAAAAGAAGATTACCGAGGTGTAGATCTAGAGCAAGGTGTCAACTGAGTTGTCGGCGTTTTAGGCAACGAGATGCTCACCTCCATGGGCATAGCCCTGTGAGTGGACGAGTGACAAGGCCAGGACCAGCTGTGCGGCAAGAGATCTGGCAACATCGAGCTGAAAGAGGGAGCTGCCTGATGCCTCCCTTGCGTCCCGCAAGCTGCACCGTGCTGGAAGGGTGACGAGGCACGGATGGGTACCATTGGGCCCGTTGAGATCGAAGCGATTAAGAACGACGGGAATCAGCGACAACTTGTCTTCCGAGTCGCTACAGCTTGCGATGCACTCTGTGAGCTGGGGAAGAACATCAACCCCGGTGTGTTCCGCGTCCGCGGTGCCAACCTTGATAGCGACATATTTTGATGTCTTCTCATCGACGGCAAGCCAGGCAGTGGAGAATGTGCCGTGGCCAAGCTTGTGTACGATTCGATATCGCTTATCGAGTCGTTCATTGATGTGAATTGGATGATAGCCGCCCGACCGATAGTCGCTGAGATGCTCTACTCCTTCAATGTATCCGTACTCAACGGGTGATGCTGAAATGGTCGAGTAATGGGACTGGGGGAAGCTCAATCCTATCCGCAGTGAAAAACAAGGACTCCGAAAGCAAACCCTCGCCCGCCACGAGAGGACATGACGTGATGGGCAAGCATTCATATGCAACGCATGAGAGATCACTGCTTTGTAGTACTGGATGAACCTCAGGACTGAATGGTCGATTGTTCTGAAGGCAGGTGGACTAGATTATGATGGTAGAAGGCGTGTTGCTGACAGTGTCCTGGTCGCTCAGGACACAGCTGTGACAAGACAGGGGCGGACACAGCCGCAGGGTGGGTCCGCCAATGAATTGAAGCGCCCACTGTGACCTTCTTCACGTCAACGCACATCGCACCCCTTTTCTTGCGAGAGTCTTTCTCATATTGAAACTGGGCAGGGCAGAAAGATGTGGCTTAGTGATAAGGTGATAAGGAGTGGCTAATCAGGGAAACGCACTTTAGCTAGACTCGTTGTGAGGACCCCCAAGGGACACACATCATCAATCCTACACCACACATTCAAGAACCTATCTTTTTTTCAAGTGACTGCTTCGTTGCCCTGATCAGAGGAGGTCTTCACTGGCCCTACTTCAATACCAGTCGCCCAGTTGGCGATGGGGATACGGCCCATCGTGGTGGCCAGCGCGGTCACCTGCAGAGAGAGTTTTTCTCTAACAAGGCGACGAAACAGAGAGGGGTGTTGTCCATGCTGAGATTAAGGAAGAGGCATCCCGCTTCTCAGGGATGCATATCATCGTGGTTGTCGGCGGGCATTCATCACTGTTCCAGGGATAGAGCAGGTCGGGACTAGCATTCAAGAAAGATATGAAGAACGGAGCTATTCGTTGCAAGGCAGAACTGCAGGATCTCAGAGGCCGTTGAATGGCAAGGGAGAGCCTTGTGAGTCTAAACGAGTATGGACGTGCTACTACAAACAAAGAGTAACCAGAATCGAAGTGACTGAGATAGCTTGGTATACCTAGGCCGTGGCTAGAGCTAGTACCGTGTTTCGAATTGCTGACTTCACTCTGCTCTAAATCAAGTACTAACACAGGATGCAGCGGTCTTGAGCAGATTGATACCGCGTTTAAGTCTTAGGTATATAGTGAAAAAGCATTCCATATTTAAAGAAAGTTTGCAGCTGAGAGCGTCGCCTGTGCACAAAATTTGTATGCCCTCGCAATCTTGTGCTCGTAGGATAGCCCCTAAGCATACTGTTTTAAAACCCTCCGCTAATGCGTCTTGATGGACACCTACGACACCATATCATACACTGACCGACCGAATGCCTATTCAATTGCGGACCAAGCCTGATCCAGCCAAAGAAATCATAAAAAGAGAAATACCCAAAGAGCAAGATTATTTCTTCCGGTGGCTTGAAGGAGCATTCTACATCAAATTGAATCCCACTTATTTCAAGTTCGCTCACCACGTTAGCATACCAAAGGGTTCAGCCCTCACCCTGAGATATCTGGAGTGATGCTAACCAACCCGAACCCAGAGGCAACAAGAACGGTTGAACAGGGGCGACTCGGGACCTACCAGGAAAAGACATCACAAGGAGGTTAGAGGACCAAGAAGAACGGAGAAGCCTGAGGATGAATTCGCCATTCACCGACAGACCTAAATATGGCCGTCGTCTATTCGAACTTTTTAATGGAGAAATTTCAGTTTCATTGGGTGAATCTAACGCTTTCAAAACTATCTGTCGAAATACCCCGCTATAGCAGCGGCATATACAGACATGAAAACCATGAAACCAACGAAGTATACAACGAATAGTGTGGCGATAGACATTACATTCCACAATATGAACAAAATTTGAAGGATTCCTGCGGCAATAGCTAAACCGAGCAAATAGAACCAGTTGCGTAATACGAAGAAATATATGCTGCGGACTCCTTGTGATGGAAGTCTGATTAGGGAGTTATCGTGTTGCCAAATTGGTGTCACGCTGTCGAGATCTCGGCCCGATACTGGCGCTTCAGGGTTTCCCTCGACGTTGATGACCTCGACTCCCGTTGTGTCAGAGGCGCCTCGTGGGGATGCTGGCCAGTCCTGAGCCCCTTCAGGGCGATCCGAAGAAGGCATCTAGCTCAAGTCAGTCGATTTCGGAATTCTTACCACCAAACATCAGTTGATGACTTGCCTCACATGATGATCCAGCCTAAAGGGGCACTGCACCGGCGTCTGGTCGCTGTCGATAGACCTTCAACGGAGTGTATCATGAAGGTGGAAAAAACAATAAGGTACCTTGCCTGCTTGAAAGCGAGGGTAGTCACTGAGATCTCCTTGGCGAAATTAATCAGCCAGCTTCTGCCCCAGGAGATTGTTGCTGTGCCGCTTTATTAGCCGATGTCGGCTGAACTCGACATCCTGTATCACACCTCAGAATGGGCCGCTGCCTGCTTACCTGGCCTATATAGGTACCTAGGTGCCCTGTACATGTTGTAAGCACGTGATTCTCGGAAAACAAGCATTGGCACATGATGATCCTGTCGCATTAGGCTGTATGGCGTAACTGGATGACAAACAGAACCCATCTCGTCAAACTTGCCCCCTCTCATGCATTTGCGACCCCTCCTGCTTTCGCGTCAGTCTAGCTGTGAACCTGCATTATGGCAGAAGCAATAGCTTTGGTAGGTTTGGCATCGAGCATCGTCACCTTTCTTGACCTGAGCAAGTCGTTGCTGAAGGCTGCGAAATCGTCTCGCGATGCTTGGCATGGCACAACTCCACAGGTTCACGAACTCGAGAAGATCGTTACAGATGTAACAGAGAGGCAACTTATTCTACAGACAAGCTTAGCTTCTCTCAACAGAGCCCCATCAAAGACTGACCGCATTACATTGTCCATGTCAAAAAGCTGCATAGACTTGGCCAAAGAGTTACAGGAATTGATAATCAAACTGTCGAGGCGGACGGACGCCAGATCACAAATGATTGAAAGTGGTAGAGTCGCTTTGGCAGCTCTGACGAAGCAAAGCGAGTTGAAAGATCTAGAGACTCGCATGAAGAAACTAGACTGGTCTGTTCGTTCCAACGTGAGAGATCTCATGAAAGGGTGAGCACATTTTGAGCTGGTGTCATGTCCCTCTACCCTCCATTTCGATCACCAGTATCTGACAGAGCTCGTTTAGCATACATCACGCCGAAGTATTGCAAGAAATCAATGAAGTAGAGCAATCACACCTTCGGCTGGAAATTAAGTACGACATAAAGTTGGAAGAAATGCGGAAAGCGATCTTGAGTCTTGCGGTTCAAAGCCGGGAGGACGTGGATGCTCAAGAAGCGCAGCTTACCAGCCTTGGAACGAAGCTTTCCTCGCTCGAAAATGAACTGCGACGCTGCAGAATGCAAAGTCGCGTTGTCGAGAGTCTGTATTTCCCGGAAATCAAACGGCGATGGTCACAGATCGAAAATTCGGAGAACATGACGAACCTGTGGTTGTTCGACTCTACCCTCACGTCATTTCCATCATGGCTGAGCAGTGAGGATTGCATATATTGCATCACTGGGCTGGTACGTCAACAGCTGAATGAAAAGTTGTTCAAATAGTCCCCAAAGTTTGCTGCGCGAGGTTCCTTCCAAGCTAATCAGAATATCGCTACAGGCTGGCAGCGGCAAGTCGACCTTGATGAAGTACGCATTTGATCACAAGACCACTCGCGAAGTTCTGAAGCGTTGGGCTTATCCCGCAAACCTCTGCATGGCTAGCTACTTCTTCTGGAGCCAGGGCTTTGACATGCAGAAGTCCCAACTAGGCCTTCTTCAATCACTCCTCTATCAAATTCTGAAGAACATACCAGAACTCATACCGCAAATCACGACAAGTAGGGCTGAGAGGGCTGATCATGAGATCTGGAGCTTGGACGACATCAAAGTTGCTTTCAAAACCATTCTATCTTACACAGCACTGTCGACTCGATTTTGTTTCTTCATCGACGGCTTGGACGAGTACAATGGGGAAGAGGAAGAGATCGCTAGGCTTCTCCTATCGATCTCTACATCTAAAAACATCAAGATTTGCGCATCGAGTCGGCCTCGTTTGGTATTCAACAGCACACTGTGGTCTCCGCAACGAATGCTACAGGTGAATGACTTTACGAAAAACGATATGCAGCACTATGTGCGCCAGCGCCTTCAAAGAAACGAAAAATTCAGGAAGTTGGACAGCTCGTCCACCGTGGGCAGTCGGGCACTCATGAATCAGGTCGCTGAACAAGCCAAAGGTGTCTGGCTGTGGGTGTATTTGATAACTAGGGATCTCATATACGCAATCAACCGCAACGAAGGCTTGACAAAGTTGGAAGACATCGTCAAAGGGTTTCCAAAAGAGCTGGACGAATACTTCACGCTCATCATCACTCGTATCCGACCGTCATTCCGAGACGAGATGGCTCGCATCTTCCTCATTACCATACAAGAGGTCCAGCCAATGCCATTATTCGCCTTTTCTTTGTTGGAAGAAGAGAGGAAGAATCCACATTACGCCATAGAAGCTGAAATTTCTGTGCTTACAGAACAGCCTGTGAAAAGATCAGACGCCGTCTGGAAGGATCGCATACACAACCGATGCAGTGACCTCCTGATTGTTGACGATGGAGAACACCCAACATTTCTCTTCCATCCTGTCGATTTTCTCCATCGAACAGTTCGTGACTTTCTTCGCGATACTTACTTTGATAAGCTGCGGATGGAGCTCAAGTCCGAATTCAACCCAGCCGTTTCTCTTTGCAAGATACTTGTCTTTTTTCTAAAAAAGCAGCCAAACGGCAGTATCCGAGGCCCGGCAGTTCAAAACCGGCTTATCTCACTTGTAGACGAGCTGCTGTATCATGCCAGAGAGGCAGAGAAGATCTCTCAGCATGAAGAAGTCGAACTGGAAACTTTGCTCGACGAGGTGGATCGGGTGCTAAGCGTGCTGATCAAGTCGGCTACAAAGAATCATTGGACCCATATGCGCGACTCGCCCAGAGCACGAGGTCTGGATGAGTACCGGGAAGGGGGAAAGTGCAACTTCATCGCCCTGGCAGTGCAATGCCGACTCGTTGACTACGTCCGAGCAAAACTCACGCGTGAGCCAGAGCGCCTGGAGAAGGGAGGGAGACCGCTGCTCGATTACGCGCTTCGGCCGCGCAGAATCTCGCCACTCACCGTGCCCTATCATTCGCAGCGAGACGAAGCCAACATTGAGATTGACATGATCAAGCTCCTCCTCGATCTTGGTGCGGATCCTAATCAGAAGATCCATTTGAACGACGGTCGCTCTGTTTGGCACATGTTTCTCATCTCATGCGGAGAGTCAATCGCGCGTGAAGAAGCCAGCGAGACAAGCAAGAACGCATGGCTTTTTGCCATGGAGCTCCTACTTGAGCATGGAGCGCGAGGAAACACGTCGATGACGAGCAAAAATTCTGGCATGACTTTGGAGCGTCTTATACACTCTGTTATGGGACAGTACCATGGCGAGAGAATCTTGCTGAAGCTTATCGAGAACGAAAGGGAACACGCGTCGTCGCAGTCATGGGCGGGATGGATCCGAGGGTTTGCTCGGTAGCTAGGGCTGTAGACGGTGACCAACATGCTCTAGCGGGTCTTTGTATCAGATTCAAGGTAGACGGTCACAAAGAAGAAAGACCCAAGGACCTTTCGCCAAGGAGCAAACAGAACCGACAGAACGTCACGGAATATTTTATACATTAAGTTTCAGGTGATATTTTGGGAGACGGTACCAGTACCAAGAGAAATGCACATCGCAAAGCGAATGGCTTCTCGGAATAACGTCAGGATTGCTCGACGTGGGTTGATTGGAAATGTCTTTCTGCTTCGAAGGTTCGCCCTTCATCGTTTCTCATGGAATATTGCCCCCAGCCAGTCCGGCTCCGGCTCATTGACGGGGAGACAGAGATGACGACTTGTGGGTCTCCTCCGCAATTCGACATCAACCCCCGCAACCTTCGTCCGGGCCGGCGCAGAGCCCGAACCTCAGCTAGCTTGCTCACAAGCAAACAAATCCCACAATTGTCGACACAGAACTGGCTCGAAGTCTTTCATTCTAAGAGAGGTATGAGCAGGTGCGTACCATCTCGCTCTATCAGACTGCTCGCCCGACTCCCAAGCAGCGCCCTCATAACCCCGCTTCCCAAAGCTGGACGATCCACGACGTCTCAAACGGCGCCCATCATGGTCACCCGAACCCCGCATCTGATCAACCTGCTCCGGGGCTGGCCCTCGCCGTCCCTCTTGCCGGCGGCCGCGCTCACAGCAGCAGCAGCCCGGGCCCTCTCCGACCCGACCATCTCCGTCCCCGGCCTCCAGTACGCCCCCGACCCCGGCTTCCAGCCGCTCCGCGAGGATCTCGCCGCGTGGCTGGCCCGGGTCTACGGCGCAGCACCCGAAGCCGATCGCATCTGCATCACCGGCGGCGCCAGCCAGAGCCTCGCCAACATCCTCGCCAGCTTCACAGACCCCGGCTTCACGAGGGCCATCTGGATGGTGGCGCCCTGCTACTTTCTCGCCTGCCCCATCTTCGAAGACGCAGGCTTCGGAGGCCGTCTGAGGGCGGTACCCGAGGACGACGACGGCGCCAATGTCGAGATCCTGGCGCAGAAGCTCCAGGCGCTCGACGAAGCCTGGGAGCGCGACGGCCGAGGCGCCAAGGTCAGCTACGCTTCATCCCCCCTTCCCCCCTTTTGTCAGTCGGCCGCCACGTAGCTTTCTAACACGCCCCCATCCAGCCCGAGGACCTGAAGAGGGGCAAGAACCGCAAACTCTACAGACACGTCATCTACCTCGTGCCCACGTGCGCCAACCCGTCCGGCAAGACGCTGCCGCTACGTCGGCGCGAGGCCCTCGTCCGCCTGGCGCGCGCGCACGACGCGCTCCTCATCGCCGACGACGTCTACGATTTTCTCCAGTGGCCGCTGAATCCCGACGTCGCTGCTGCTGCTGCTGCTGCGCCGTTCCCGCCGCGGGATCCGCACCTGCGCCTGCCGCGCCTGTCGGACGTCGACGCCGCGCTCCCGGGCCAGACCCCCTTCGGCAACGCCATCTCGAACGGGTCCTTCTCCAAGATTGTGGCGCCGGGCGTGCGCACGGGCTGGGTGGCGGCGACGCCGGCGTTCGCGTACGGGCTGAGCCAGACGGGGGCGAGCTGCAGCGGCGGCGCGCCGAGCCAGCTGGCGGCCGTCATGGTGTGGGAGCTCCTGCGGTCGGGCGAGCTCGAGCGGCGGCTCGTCGAGGAGTCGATCCCGCAGCTGAGGGAGCGGCATCGACGCGTCCTCGAGGCTGTGGAGGCGCTCCTCGTGCCGCTGGGCGTGGCGGTGAGGCGGTCGAGCCTCGCCGGCGCCGAGGTGTATGGGGGATACTTTGTGTGGCTGACTCTGCCTGAGGGCGTCAGGGGGGCGGATGTCGCGGACAGGGGCAAGGAGCTTGGTGTGACTGTTGGTGCCGGGGAGAAGTTTGAAGTCGCGGGGGATGAAGATGGCGCTCGGTTCGAGAGGGAGGTCCGCATCTGCTTCTCGTGGGAGGAGCTTGAGGACGTTGTCGAGGGAGTCAGGAGGCTGAGCCATGCGGTGAGGGATGTGCAACAGGGCAAGTTTGTGGCTGGACCCAAGGTCGATGCGACGTACATTGAGAAATGATCATCGAGGCTTCCTGAGACATAGACCAGGCTGCATACTGCCTTGTGTTGTACGACGAAGAGGAGCTGTAGAGGGGCCTTGAGGTCCGCTGATATTGGAGTTTGATGGCCAAGTCTTCACAAGAAAGTCTTCACAAGAAAGCCGGAATTCAAGACAGCAGCAGGCGGCGCCACAGCTTGTGGTTCGCCAGCATCAGCCAAACTCACGAATTGCATGCCTTTAACTTCATCTCCACGCAGTCGTATGCACAAACGTGTTCTTCGAGCGTGCTGCATCCACAGCGCAGGGCGAATCCGAAACCGGCCTCGAGGGCATGTCCAATTAATCATTATAAAGCATCAGTGCTGAATCGTAGGGTATCACTTCGTCGACAGCCTCCCGCACCGTCAATCCCACGAGAAGAGCGTCCGTCCACCGAGATGAGAGGCCACAGCGGCCACGTCTCACATCTCACATCTCGTAAGGCTTGGGATCCTTGAAGATGAGGTGCGGCTTGCGCTTCGCAATGTCGAGAATGGTGTCGGCGAACACGCCGTTCGCCCAGGCAAACCAGCTCCCTGCATGTGGTTGTCAGTCTCCGCACAACAATCAGAGGAAAGGAGAGAGGTCGACGTACGCGTGTAGGACGTGATAAAGTTCACATCAATGCTCTCGTGCACGAGGCCGAGCTTGGCCGACTGCAGAACGAGGTGCAGAGACTTTGTGATCTCAGCATCATCGTCCGACGTCTGCGCCTGGATCAGCAGGCTCATGGGCCAGGCGTTCGACAGGCCGACGTGGGGTCCGCCGATGCCCTCGAAGACGCGCCCCTGGAGGTAGTAGGGGTTGCCCGCCTTCTCCAGCAGCATCTTCCTCGTGTTCTGGTAGACGTCGTTGGTCGTCTCGGTGAAGCCCATGAGGGGCAGCGCCAGGAGCGAGGGGTAGTTGGCGTCGTCCATGATGATCTGCGAGCCGTAGCCGTCGACCTCGTAGGCGAACACGTCGCCGTACTTGCGGTGCTTGACGACGCCGTGGGTCCAGACGCCGTCGGCGATCCTCTTGCCCCACTTCTCGAGGGTGACGCCGAGGTCCTTCTTTCCGGACGCCTGCAGGATGGCGGCCGTGCGCTTGAGCTCGACGGACATCATGGCGTTGGCGGGGATGAAGAAGCCGAGAATGGTCGCGTCGTCGCTGGGCCGAAACGCCGACCGCACGAGGCCGGTGCCCCAGTTCAGCGGGTTGCCGACGCCCTGGAGGTTCAGCGTCTCGGTGCCCGTGTCGGTCTTGCGCTGGAAGGTGTACTCGTTGCGCACGAAGCGGCCCGTCTTGGCGTCAAAGGTCGACCGCGACTGCTGCTCCAGCACGGAGACGAGCGTGTCGACGGCGGCGTACCACCTGTCGTTGAGGAACTTGGTCGACCCCGTGTTGTCGTGGAACCGGTTGGCCAGGGCGAGAAAGTGCGCCAGAGAATCCAGCTCGTACTTGCACTCGAAGACCGAGGTGGCCTCGTAGAGCGGGTGGACGACATCCTCCTGCTGCCCGTTGACGCTCGGCTGCAGGTTGCTGATGGGCGGCGGCTGGAAGGCGTTGCAGTAGGGCGACTCGATGACATACTCGGCCTGCGTGTTGATGGCGCCCAGGATCAGGTTGAAGATGGCGGGGTCCTTTTTGGCGAGGGGCTGGATGGGCGTCAGCTGGTTCGTCGAGTCGCGCAACCACTCGGCCGTGATGTCGCCCGTCACGATGAAAGAGTGAGGGCCCTGCCATTTCCCGTCGGCATTGAGACCCCGTTCCGTGTGCTCGATGACGCTAGCGCCGGTGCCGTCTGTGTGGAACTTGATGGTCGTGTCGGTGGTCGAAGGGAATGCGTTCTCGAAGAGTCTGGCCAGATCAGGATCCTTCATGCGCGAGGTGACCTCCTGAATCACGCGTTCCACCTCGTCAGAATGAAAGGTCCGGCATCGAGGATCGGGTCGCTGGTACGGCAATGCGAGGGGCCCTTCACTGAAGGGGCGACTGCGCGATGCATCGTTAGCACAGTCCCGGGTGGGAGGATCATGTCGCCGCGGCGCTCGCGACGTACTGTGCAATGGTACTTACTGTGCAAAGGTAGAATATTGGGCATAATTAGGACAGGCAATCTCCCGGTCGAAGAGACCTGGTGACGACTGGCCGGCGGATGCAGGGCCAGCAGACGCTTGGGCAACCCAAAGGCCGACCAGAGGGACGAAGGTAGCAAGGGAGTTGGGAAGAAGCATTGTGCTGCTGTCGAACGGTGCGACCAAGGCGAGGAAGGAGCTGTGCTAGAACATGAGAAGATGATGGTAGGTATGATCAATGACCAATGTTGGGTTCATGTATGTGCGAAAGCAGCGCGCTGTCGTGGCGGCATGGAACTGAGCCGGCGCGGTTGTCGAAGGGATGTTGTTGGCGTCGAGGAAGTCACGGCGGCAGATCATGCGGCCGAACAGAAGCTACGTCGACGGTGAGCCATGCACCATGCTCCACAGCACACCGCCTTAGGTAGGTACCTTAACCTAGCAAGCCTAGCTACCTCTCTGGGCGGTGCGTGACAGGGAGACACCCCGCTGCGGGTCTGGGGAACGCGCTACTTGGGGGCGCTTAGGCCTTATTTACAGGGGGCCTCGGTAGGTAGTCAAGGTTCCTGGTTGAGTACCTACGTACCTACCTTTAGGGCACCTAGTACAGGACCTAGGGCACCTAGTACAGGACCATCGGCACCATCTGCGCCATCCACCATCTGCATCTCATCTCGGCATGGATCAATCTAAGCTGTCCAGTCCTGTGAACGCTGTGGCTGATATGTAAGCGGCAACATCTTGTTCAAAGTGAAGGCCGAGACATCACAGGGAGCACCAAATCATACCCTGCCGCCGGAAACCGCCGTAGCCCATCGCTAGATCTTATTCGAATGTAACATGGTGCTCTTTCAACCCCCCTTCATCCGTCCAACCCTCTTTGAACACGCCTGATCGACACGTAGCCGCCCCTTTCTGTCTACATCTCCGGCGGCACGAGAGATGCAGACTCTGGGCACGTAGCATTCGACCATGTGCAACCCGCCATGCCAAAAGTTTGTACCCCTCTTGACTGCGTGCAGCGCGCGTTGCTGAATGCACCTCCTGTTCCCGACGTCTCTGCTCAGGTTGCCAATAATGCTGACCCATCACTTCTTCGCAAAGAAAGACATAATGTTGCCCTGGCCCTTGGGCGCTGCCTTCTTCGCCTTGGGCTGCGTCCCAGAGCTCGGGGCCGCAGCCGCAGCCGCCTTGGTGGGCGCAGGCGCCTTAGGCGCCGGCTCGTCTTCCGAAAAGGACTCCCAGGCTTCTTCTTGCGTCGTGACTGGCTTGGTCAGTATTGGGGCCCATGTCCCGGCTGCAGGCGTGAACTCACTGAAATAACCTTCCTTGTCCATCGTCTGGGTCTTCTTCATGACGCGCCGCTTGCCACGACGCCGCCCGTCGCCGGTGCTCGCCGCGACCTCTTCCGCTTGCCTGGCCGGGGCGTCGGTCTTCTTCTCCAGCGCTGGCTCGTGCACGTCCTCCATCGGCTCGTCTGCCGCCGCTTCTTCCTCCTCCTCCTCCTCCTTGTCCTCCTCGTCCTCTGGCTCTTCCTCGCTCTCCTCCATCATCTGCCGGAGGGCCGCCTCGCGGTCCTTTCGGGATTTGCGGCCCCCTTCCGTGGCAGCCCTCTTCGGCGCAGGCAGCGGGTCTTCGTCGTCTTCGCCGTCGTCCGACAGGGCGGGCGAGTCGACCGGTTTGGGCGTGGACGCGTTGGACGACGGCTTGGAGCCTCCTTTCGAGGCCTTGGCCGCCGCTTTGGAAAACGCAGACATGATGCCCGACGAGCCGCCGCGCTTGAGCGAAGGCGCAGCCTTGGCCGGCGCTGCGGCGCCTGCGCCCGTCTTTTTGGCAAACATGTCTTTGGCCGTCGCCGGCTTGGTCTCCTCCTTGACCTCGGGCGCCGGACTGGGCGCCGCCGCCGCCGCCGCCGCTGGGGGTTTCTTCTCGGCGGGCTTCGGCGCCGGCTGGGCCTGCGGCCTGCTCTTGCGCTCGCGCCTCTTCATGTTTGGGTTTGTGACGGAGCCGTACGTAGAGGCCATGGCGACGGGATCCTCGTGAGCGTATTGCAGCAGCTCACGCGTCACGTCGGACAGAAGCTGGTACTCCTAGGATAGGTCAGAAACCACCAATCGAGCATCGTGAATCGAGCATCATAATGACTTGTTCTACCTTGTTGGGGAAGGGGGCCAGGCTGTACACCTGGAAAGCGGTCACCTCCTGGTATGTGGCCAAGACATCTGAGCCGGTGTCAGCAGCAGAACAGCGCATCGTGAGCAGTCGGGCGCACCAGTGAGACGCTCCTCGTGAACCAGGGTCAATGTTTGCGTGGGAACGTCGTCTCCCATGGCGTCCACTTCAGGCGGTGAGCTGGTCATGTCGTGGTCGCCATCCTCCTGGACACCTGGCGACTTGGTGCCGTAGACCAGATACGTTGCATGGACCTTGCCGGGCGTCGTCGCATTCTGCGACTTGTGAAATTCGTAGAGCATCCTCATCATGTCAGAATGTATGCCGAGCCTTCCACACGATACAGACAGAGCTCACCCCTTGGCGGTGTTGACGTGGACCTTGAGAGCACGGCTGAGAGTTCGGTAGGTTACCATCTTATCCTCAGTGAAAAGGCGGTCCGCCAGGTATTTCGTGTACTCCTCCATAGCGGCAGTGGCTGAAGGCCAATCGAACGACAGGATGGAATTGGCAAGGCAAGCAAAAAAAGGCAAGCAAAAATGAGTCCCTCTCCGTCGAATCGTGATAGCAAGGTCAACGGCAGGCAGGGAGGAGGGGCGGATGGTGCTCTGGATAGAGGCATAAGGAAGAAACGCGCTTCGAGACGCGCTGTCACGTGGATCAAGGACCACCGATGCCCTGCGTCCCGCAACCGTCGACTCCACTCTAGGCGGCACACCCCTGCAAGTCCTCGGACAAGGCGACGCGCTGCCAAACGGTCGAGACGCGACTCGACTCCCCATGAAAGAAAATCCGTCGACATCATCGCCACATCCCGTGCAGTGCGCCCACCCAGAACCCTGCCTGCGTCGTCGGCAGCCAGCATCCACGCCTCCCCGCCAAGAAGCGTCATTCCATCGCCATCATGACCGACGACTTCGCCGACGTGCCAGACTCGACAGACTGGCTCTCGACACCCCTCGACGGCCTGGCCCCCGTCGAGGCCGCCCTCCGCTGCCAGGTCTGCAAGGATTTCTACAAGACCCCGATGCTCACGTCCTGCTGCCACACGTTCTGCTCGCTCTGCATCCGCCACGCCCTCGCCAACGACGGCCGCTGCCCGCTGTGCCGCAACACGGACCAGGAGCTCAAGCTGCGCAACAACTGGGCCCTCGACGAGATTGTCGGCGCCTTCCAGAACGCGCGCGCCAAGACCCTCGAGTTTGCGACGAAGCCGCCGTCGCTGGCACAACAGCGACAACCACGGCCAGCAAGGCCACGAGCGTCGTCGCCGAAACGCAAGCGCGAGAAGAAGGACGGCGACGCGGCGGCGCCCGAGCCGAAACGGCTGCGCAGCTCGGCACGGCTGAGCGGCAGCAGCAGCAGCAGCGGCGCCGCGCGGTCCCAGGAACCCCCGACCCCTGCGCGCGAGGTGTACCAGATTCCCGACTCGGAGGATGACGAGGACGAGGAGGGCGGCGACGACGGGGACGGGGATGGGGACGAGACGTACGAGCCCGAAGATGGCCTCGTGCCGTGTCCCATGTGCCAGACCCGCATGAAGGAGGAGCAAGTCTTTGCGCATCTTGATAAATGCCCCGGCCCCTCGGCGGTGGAAGCGGGGAGCGCGAGGCCAGGGCGGGACAGCGGGGGAGGCGGTTCTCCGGCAGCGCAGTCGGCGTTGCCGTATGACCAACGGGCGAGGCAGCCCGGGGCGAAGGCTCTGGATAGACTGCCTTCGCTGAACTACTCGATCCTGAAAGACCAGGCCCTGCGGAAGAAAATGGTCGACCTCGGCTTGTCGACGGGCGGCTCTCGCCAGATGATGGAAAAGAGGCACAGGGAGTGGATCACCATCTGGAATGCCAATTGCGACGCGTTGAGGCCGAAACGACGGTCCGAGTTGATACATGATCTCGAGGTCTGGGAGCGAACGCAAAGCGGCAGGCCATCGGCGCTGGGCAAGGGCCGAGCGGGCGCCATGGCCACGGCGGTGAAGGACAGGGAGTTTGATGGCGCAGCGTGGGCGACGAAGCATGATAATGAGTTCAAGGATCTCATTGCGAATGCGAGAAAGAGCCGTACTCAGGCCCAAACGAAGAAAGAGCCCGATGACACAGCTGAAAAGACTACTGAAGTTGCCGAGGCCGATGGCGACAAGGGTTCAGAGCCTGGAGGACATGGTCAAGAGACTTCTACTGCCCCAGCCGACTTCATGCCTCAATCAGACCTCGACGGCGAGATCATCATGGCCGAGGCATCGGCAGTCGATAATGAAGCTGAAGTGCAAGAGGCAGAGCTCGGAGCGGAAGAGGCTAAACCACCAACAACAAAACCAGAAACCGTCTCTGGCCCACTCAAGCCTACCAGCGCCCATCTCTTGCAGGATGGGTTCGACGAGACGCCGCTCTCGTTAGGCGTGGACGCAGGCAGCAGTCATGAGGTATCAGGCTAACAGCAAGTTCTGGAATGATTATGATGATAGCATTGCATCTTGGGTGGGGGGCGTACATGAAACCAACATGTCTGGTCATTGCTTTCGGAGGATGTACATATTCCATCTGCTGTTCCAAACCAGACAAGATACCCATATGAACCACATAACGCCCTGTTCAACAGAAAGAAAAAATCTCCTGAAATGTGACGACTCTAGCTGTACAAACGTATTCAAGACGCAGCTTGAGGCTGCGGGCGCTCATCCAGCGACATACGCTCGAGTTGCTCAGCCGTTTTGGCCGCTGCCTCGCTCTCCGCCTCCGTCTCCGGCACGGAACCGGCCTCCTCGAGGCGCTTCCTCGTGGCTTCGGCCTCCCTGGCCTGGTGGGCGTCCTTCTCGGCCTGCTTCTCAGCCGCGATCCTGTCCTCCTCAGCCTTCTCCAGCGCACGGAGCTCGTCGTCAATCTCGCCGTCGTCGATGGCCTCGACCTCGCCAGCGCTCGCGAGTATCCTGCCGACCTCGTCCGTGTCGGCCATCTGCTCCCGCAGCGCGTCGACGACACCCTCGACGCGCTCGACGCCGCCGACCTCGGCATTCAGCTGCTTCAGCACGCCGGCGCTGCCCTCCATGACCTTGACGAACTGGACCTGGTCCCGCGCCTGCTGTATCCTCGCGGCAATCTCCTCCATCTGCAGCAGCGCCGCGCCGCGCTTGCCCAGCGTCGCCTCGGCCGTCTTCTTCTCGCGCAGCAGCCGCATGGCGGCGGCGTTGTTCCTCCTGCCGACGGCGGCCTTGGCGTCGGCCGCCAGCGTGTCGACGCGCGCCGCCAGCAGTGTCGTCTGGTGCTTGAGATCCTCGACGAGCGCCTTGAGCTGCGCGACGGCGGCGTCCTCCTCCGTGATGGCGGCGTCCTCGCCCTCGACGCGGATGCGCACCGTCTGGCCGTCGCTCGCCACGAGGCCCTTGTCCCGGGCGAGGAAGCGCAGCAGCACGTCGACGTCGCGCCGCGGGAGCGCCCTGTCCTTCTGCCCCGCGACGGCCAGGTCGGCGGCGCACGCCCGCTCGAAATGGCGCCGCGTAAACGTCCGCTCGAAGCGCGTGTCGCTCGCCCGCGCGGCCGCCTGTTCGGCCACGAGACCCCCCGCCTTTTCGAGGTTCGGCAGCACGACGTACGTGCCCTTGGGCATCTTGTCCTCGGCCGCCGACGTGCCGCCGCCGCCGTTGCCGAACCCCAGCTGCCGTGCGGCCCAGGAGGCGACGCTCCAGGGCACGGCGCCCCAGCCGGCCGTCTTGGCGTAGATGCTCTCTTTTCGCGCGAGAAAGTCGGGCACGGGGACGAGGTCGCCGCCGTCGAGGGCCTCGCGGACCACGGTGCCGAGGGCCAGCGGGCGGCCGAACTGGCGGCTCTGCAGGTGGGCGGGGAGCGCGTCGTCGACGGTCAGGAGGAGACGCGGCGGGGTGGTGGAGGTGGCGGGGTCGGGGAGCTGGGCGTCCCAGGCGAGGCGGGCGAGGGCGGCGCGCCAGGCCGAGAGGTTGGCGGTGTAGCCGTCCGGGTTGAGGGTGCGCTGGGAGCGAAAGTCGGAGTAGAGGGCTGGAAGACGGGCTTTTCGGAAGGAGGGGTCGTTTGACGTGAGGTAGTCGGCGAGGTCGCCCATGGTGGGCAGGTAGTCTTGACGATGGCAGCGATGGTTGGCTGAGGTAGAGGAAGAAGAATGAAGGTTCGAGGCCGAAGATGTGTTATTTGTTCTGTTTGGTGATGACGTCAGGAATGTCTGGTCAGTCCTTGCAATGGCAGACCTTGAGGTCAACAGACAGAGTCAAGAGACAGACGATGTCGCTAGCGAAGACAAATGCTGTTCAACATAGAGGCAAGGCCATGGCCTGACTGCAGTTGTAGGTCGCGAAGTTGGGTGTGGTGGGGGTGGCAGTCGAAAGATGCAATGACGGTGACCCCTGTGCCTGCCTAGGTACCTGACCAAAGGTACCTGACCAGAGGTACCTTACCAAAGGTACCTTACCTTACTAGGTAGGCACCTAGGGAGGGCGGTACCTGCACATGTCATGTCGCTATAGCGCCTACAGTAGCCTCGTGCTCGCTTATCTGCCTTGTGCGGGCCGATGGCGACCTCATGTGATTACAAGCACTCACAATGTCCGACACTGGCAAGGTGTGCAACTGACCAGGCATTTAGATGTTTACCTTGCCCTGAATTATTTTTCCGTCATTTTGTTCATACACTTGACGAGCCACGCGACCCCGTAGGTCAAGTGTCAACACGAAACACTGTATGCTGCCGAGGACTGGTCGGCGCAGGCCTACTGCCATCGCCATGAGGGCACATCAATAGCCTCTGCCTGGTAGCAGCCATGTTCACATGCAGACTCATATACTTTCAAATGAGTGCCTACTCCATCCAAGGGCGGCTAAGGTACGGTAGGTAGGTAAAGTACATTCCCACCGATGGACCTCTAGAACAACGTAGCATCCTGGACGAGACATCTCCTCGGACTATATGATCGCGCTAACCTCATGTTACACAGCCTTCCTATTCCATCAAGCTATTGTCGCTTTCCTATAGACATGTGAAACACGTGTCGTTGACCGTTGTCAACGCTTCGTTTATACACTTTCACGTCTCGCTTCATGGTCCATCGCCTCGCCGACAGCCTCCACAAATCGGTTCGCCGTGTCGAATCCCTCAAAAGGCTCCCCCTCTCTGTTCGTCCCCAATTCCGAAGGATGCAGCGTGTGCGGCGTGATGATGGCATGTACGTAGCCCTTCTGGGGGGCCAGATAAAACTCCTTCGAGACCTGGGGCGAAAATTCTTTGCAGTACACCGTCATCGCGTTGTGATTCAGAAGAATGTCCTCGGCCCCGACTGTTGCCATTTCCTTCTTCAGCTTTCGGGCCCTCTGGGCACATGCAAAGGCCCATTCGGTAAACGTATCCCGTCCGACGTATTTGATCAGCATCCAGCATTCGAGAATGGCCCTCGCGTTCCTCGACCCGATCTGCGTCTTGTGGACCGACTGGATGTACTCGACATCGACGGCGACAGCCTCACTGTGCTCTCTGCGCATCAGGATCATGCCCCCCGTGTCCAGCGTGCCGATGAACTTGTGCGTCGAAACGTTGAGCGTGTCGATGCCGAAACCGTCGACGTCAAGCTCAAAGCTCGGCACGATGTCGACGTCGTCGGCATCGCTCATCAGCGCGAGAGGCACTGCGCTGAACGCGCCGTCGACGTGGAAGAAGAAGTCACTGCGCGGCCGCCCCGAGTCCCGGGCGAGCTCGAGGATCTGCCGGATGTTGTCGCGCCCCTCCTTGACCGTCCCTCCGCAGAGGATGCCCATCCATATCGGGTGGTCCTCGTTCTTCTCAAACGCCTCCCGGAGCGCCGCCATGTCGATCGAGCCGTCATCGTTCTCGTCAATCGTCTGGGCGCGCAGGCCGTTCTGCAAGACGGCCGTGTCAAACGAGTAGTGGGCCGCCTTGCTGAAGAGCATGACCGGATCCCGCCCGCCCGCCTTCCGCAGCACCTCCTTGCCCACCGTCACCGCCCAGATGTTCCCGCTGCTGCCGCTGGCGTCGATGTAGCCCCAGTACTTGTCCTCGCCGCCGGCGCAGTGGAAGAGCTCCATGAAGAACAGCATGACTTCGAACTCGTAGCAGAAGGCCTCGGGCGCGAAACGCCCTCCCTCGGCCCAGTTGCCTACGTTGTGCACGCCGTAGTCGGCCGCTGTCTTCATGAGCTCCTGGATCTTGGGGTGCCTGATCCAGTTGCGCGGATATCCGACGGCTTTTCGTATCGTCTTGTCCCATTGTACGATGGTCTCCGCGAAGACGTCTTCGAATTCGCCCTTATCGGCTGGCTTGGAAAAGTCGATGCCACATGAGAAAGGCATGGTCCGGCGGTCTCCTAGTGTTTCTGTAAATAATATGAGTCAGATTCGAGACTATATCTTGTATGCGCAGTGATGGCTGGGTCGTAGGGTCGTAGGGTCGTTGGCTCTATGTCGAGTGTTTGTCAAAATAAAAATCTAGTAAAAAGGAGACGGTGGCAGGACCGAGGGCACAACAACAGCGAAAGCGTTCCGTGCAATCGAAGGTGGAAGGCCGGTAACTAATAGGGCACACCGACTACTTGCGGTGTGGCTGAAGAATATTCAGATGATATCACGAGTAGCCTCCGTGACGAAAAGGCTAGTCGCTTCCATCTCATCTTAGGTTGTACGGTTTGGATTTGGCAACTTGGCTAAGACCATGGATTCATGATGGCAAAGAGAACCACGGGAATGAGACACTGAAGGCGGCCGCAACAGCAGCATGTGCCATGATGCGCATACCGGAACCGTGGCGAAAGACTCTGACGCCAGTCGTTTCGAGCCTCAAGTGGTATAGATTTCCTGTTCCAAACTATGTCCAGCAATCTCCCCCATGATGACAAGCAGAGGTAATTTTAGGTTCTCTCGTCGTCCCAGATCTCGGTCCGAACGACTACGTGACCGAGGTAATGCCGCAAGTCTCCGTCACGTCGTCGCTTCAAGCGAAGGATGCTGTTTATCACCGGTGTTCGAGATATACAGAGAACATGTGAATGGCAAAAAATTGCCGGAATCACTGCCAACGCATTCATCAATACAGTTCGGACCGGCACCCGGCCTAAAACTCCACAGTCTCCTATCCGGCACGTGAGGAATCGTGTAGGGATCAAATGTCTTGGTTGAAACCACGGGGGTCGAGACTTGGGTTGTCGGGAATCTGAACTGTCTCTTGGGATTCGGCTGCGCTAGCGCTGAAGCATTATGATAGCGGTGAAAGATCAAGACAGGTTCTGGATTAATAAGACTGCCTACTGTGGCATTGAAATGCTAGTCATTTCATATTGTAAGCATCATGATGTGCAACTTGACTAAAGAAGCCAGAAGGTGCCCAAAGTCGGGGGCCTCTGAAACGGAATTCAAAAGTATGTCTGCAGCTCTTTTTCCGATGCAACGTTCACCCTGTTGATCTCTTCCGCTTTCAATGAGGCCGGATAAAAACCTTACGGCGGCCAGATAATTCACTCAACGCAAAGCCTGACCAAGGCGTGTAACCCGCTCGAGATGATCAATGCAAGAACGCAGGTTTAGTAGAGCCAACAGGATTTCCCCAACCTCAGTACCTCACTCAGTTAATAGCCATAGCAACCTGATGAAACCTGATATTCCTTTTTCTCCGATCAGCCGTGAGATGCGTGGCCCGCGGGCCGACCCTTTGGCGGCTTTCCGGGGTCCGTGACAGTATCATCGTCGCCACCCAATGTCTTGAATTTTCTACTCAGGGTTTCGCCACACTGCAGCGTGTCCTTACTTATCCTGGTGACCAACAGGGTATCTTGACGTACTGGGTCTCATATCTAGCGAGGTAAGGAGCTTCAAAGTTGACGCTATGTCAATGGGCTGATCCAGAAAGCCACCGCCCGAAAGAATGCGGGAGCGGGAAATCGGAAATCAGGAGACTAGTGTTAGCAGAGGATTCATAACAATCTGCCTAGATCACCTCATCTACATGCCTGCGTGTTGGGTCGAGGTTCGCCGCTTACGCCGGTTCAAGGTCATCATACCCTGCAAACTTGCCCCTAAAACTCACTTGGAACCCCCTGACACTGCCAAGGGGACATCCCATCACGAATCATTTACCATTAGTGAGAAGATTTGCCAAATACTTCTAATGTAGAGTTATGCAGGGCACTATTACACGCTCGCAGCCATTAAGATAATGACGATGATCTGGTTCGAAGCCGGGACGTCCTCATGCAAGGCACCAATCGCCCGCACCAGAACCTATGCGGTTCGCCGTGTACTCAGGTGGTAGCAATTCTAAGTTCCGCTCCATGATTAATTCGATGTCAGGTTGCTCAATGCGTAGCACGTGAGGTAGGAGCCTCTCTCCAGTGAAGGGGCAGGATGATCGAAGGGTCTATCGAAATCTGCGTGCAGGCCTCAGGGCTATCTAGCGCGGCGGGTAAGCCTATGGGTGTTGCAGATCGGGGGGCTGTCACATGAATAGCGAGAGATAATGCATATAGAGAATTTGCTTATTCCCTATTCAATTTAAGGCTCTCTATATAATGCCGAGCTGAAGGAACAACATGCCTGCATCTTACCCGAGACGATTTGCTTGCTTTGCATTTTATGAAAGATTGTATTATGTAAATGTTGTATGACGTTGATGCATGTCGAGGGCATGTAGTGCTGAGGGTGTGTTGCATGATTGATATGTTGTATCGTTTACATGTCATGTTATTGAAATGTCATGTTATTGAAATGTCATGTTATTGAAATGTCATGTTATTGAAATGTCATGTTATTGAAATGTCATGTCGATGTAAGATAATGTTAAGGCATTTCAAGGGCATGTCGCATTGAGCGCATATCCTGTTACATGAAAGTGAATTCTCTCCTTTGCTGTGTTAAGCGATTTCAAAGCCTCATGCATTGGCATCCATTCAAGCATTGGCTTGCATTGATGAGCTGCATTTCCTGAAACCCCAGGAGCTGGAAACCATGACGATACCGGAGAAGACAACATGTGACATGGAAGTAAGCAACAGGCAGCAGCCGCTTTTAGACGATGCATTTTCGCCATTCCAGTTGCATACTTCAATGCCT